CCCTACAGTTTTAGTGACATTCGACTATTAATTTAAAACCTGTGCCCGTCCCCGACCTTTCCTGATTACTTATTATACCATACATAACTTAATTTATTGCAATAAAATACCAGCTTGACAAACGTTGCTTATTTGTTTGGATTTCGCATTATCATAATGTATTTGTTTCTTGCTATGCATAGAAATGAATATCTATATAATATATAGGTTACTTATAAACTAATATAACTTACTTTCATGAAATTTTCAATTATTATTTTTGTTTAAAATGTATTTGCTTATGAGGCAGTAGCGACTTAAATGAGTTTATATTTTATCTATTCTGTGTATATATACATATATTATATTCTCACAATATGCATTATACTTAATGGATTGTTCAGCGGCTATACATTGTTTGGGTGTGGCGCCCAAATGAAGAACGGCGTTTTCCTTGACAGACCACCGTTGGGACTTGCTCTGGATATTAAACTAAGTTACGGTGACTAACCCGCTTCTTAAATAAATCACACAACGAAATTATTCTATCCAATTCTATGGACATTATTAGACCCGATGTGTTTTATATGTTGTATAAAAAAATTATTATCCCGCTAGTGTTCAATAAACGGTTTTCGTCAATTACATATACGTTCATTATCGTGTTATTTTTCATTTATATGCTTTCAACTTATTTACTGGTATCGGATTTTATATTTCGATTAACCCAAGGTTTACACAATTTTACAATTACCTAGTACCTACTTTTACCAATGTCAAATTATACATCGTTATTGATCATATAATTATACTATAGTATATATTTGGAAGATAGTAATAATGCTATAGGCTTTTATTACATTTTTGACTATGCAGTTTAATGATACGTTAAGTTTTAAAACATCGATGAGAATGTATAATTAGCATTATACAATACAACAGACATCAAGTACTAAAACCTGCAGGTTACTCGATCAATTTGCACACCAACTGGTTTCTAAACAATGATACTATACGTTAAATATTATATTCTGTGTATAATATTTACACGGAATAGATTATCGCGTATGGAGGTGATGCATCAATTATTGCTACTTATTGGAAATAATTTCTCCCATGCCAATATATAGTGATTCACGGTTATATGATCATTTTAACTTATGCAAATGGTAAATTGCAACTTGAAGTGATAAATATTAGGTTTTTAGATGATTTTATTGATTTCTAATCGTTTAGCTTGACCTTTTTCGCATACTTACAAAAAAAAATGGTGCACTGCGATTTTTGAACGTCTTTTTTATATAATAATAAGGAAAATAAAAACATAATGAAATAAAACTGTGCCAACTGTTCTGTATACACCTATATATATATATATATGTGTGTGTGTGAATTTTCACCGTAGGTATCACCTAAGGAAATGTTTTGTTGTTCTTGTTGTATTATAGGCTCAGTTGCTTCCACATTGAGAAAGAGTAAAATAAAATACATTTTTTATTTTTTTATATTGTACAGGACAAACGCCGTCAGTGACTGATGTCTAGTGGCACGCAAACTATACCGATTTAAAACTCTATGTACAATGTATAACTTGTTCACTGGAAAGGCATAGGCCCTTCATTATGTTATTATAACTGTTTTAAATTAATCTATTCTAATTTAACTGCTGCTGGTGGATATAACGCCTACGTAACATTTTTTTCTCGGACCACATTTTTCAATATTTATTTTAGAAACATTTGTATATTTTAACAGTTCAGAGTTTTTTTTTTTTTTTTGTTACTCTATGAAATTATGTAGTCCCTTTAAAGCAAACCACTGTAGTATTTTATTGTAAATAATATATATTTTCCAAAATATTCCCATTAAAAATAAATATTTTTCTATGATTTCATATTTTTAGTAAAAATATATTAAAATGCATTTGATAATTAATTTATGTAGAAGCCAATTCATAAAAAAACGTTGTAATGAACTTATAAATAATATATGTATAATATTCAGATGTAGATATTTTACCTGCATTAAAGTTATACGTTCTTTATTGTGAAATCCAAAATGACAACTTATTGAGAAAATAACTGTTTAATTAACAATATGAATTACCTATGTTTATTTTTATTAAATTTAGTATAATTAATAAAACGAAAATATGTTAAATCTATCATAATTAAAATTAAAGTAGAAATTCAAATAATAATTGAAGTAAATCTTAGAATCATTTTCAATTACAGGAAATTGGTTTCCGCATAAACTAATTGTTATTGTAATGTATTAATATTTTTACTTCAATCCTTTTTTATTATTATTATGTTGAATTATTTAAATAGGTATGTAATTTTTATATTAACAACACTTCTAAGAATTTTTCATTTCCATGTCGGAAATTTGAAATATATAATCAAAGATAAAAATAAACAGCGTTTCCTAAAAGTTGCCTTTTAGTTATTATGTCTCTTATATTATTTTCTTCTAAATTATTTTTGTATAGTTTTTTTATAGTATTTTTATTTAATTTAATAAATTACCGGTATTATTTATTAATTTTAGTATTGAAATATAACATATTACACTCGATATTAAAGTAGTATTTTATTATAAGCATCCGTAAGTGAGCAATAATAATTCCTTTTGCTCAGTTAGTTACATAATTGCAGTAGCCACCTCTTCTATGCATCCGTTTAGTAGTGTGTCCCGTGTGAAACCAATGTGTTTCAATTTTAAAAATATTCTCAACAGCTCTGAAAAGCGGTTACCGAGTTCTATTTTTGTTCGTGCATCGCGTTGTAACTGCTCTAAAAAATACTACTCCTACCATACATTTTTTTTTCAACCAAATCATAATTATGCGATTTACCATGTACACACGTGGTTTTTACTCGTAAAGCTTTAATACGTGAATATTTTACAATATACATCGTAGAATTAATAAAATTAAATATAATTTAATAGGTAGTAAATTTTCTATATTGGAATTTGTTAACATAGATCGAAAACTTTTACAAATTTAATTTATATTAAAAAAACTCTTATTTTTTTAAATAAAAAATTAATAACTTAAGGGGATTGGAAGCGGCGATTTTCTTTCTCTGTTTAACACACGTACAGCATAACAATTTAGATGTTTTCTAGTTCCAACGTACCGATCGATTTATTAATGCAATAAGAAATCTAAAAACAGATTTCCCTTTTCGACTTTCCCACATTTTAGAAATTTTGTGCTAAGAATATCGAAAAATTAACTTTTGATTTTTAGGTTTCTAATTAGCTAATTTATGGGATTTTGGGGAAAAAAATCAAAAAAGTGGGAAAATCGATCTAAAGTAGACTTGACAACAAATGCAAATCTGTTTTTAGATTCCTTATCGCATCAATAGATAGATCGGTACGTTGGAACTAGAAAACGTCTAAATTGCTATGCTGCATGTGTGTTAGACAGAGAAAGAAAATCGTAGCTTCCAATCTCCTTAATTTTCTAATTATTAGCTTTACCCGTTTAAACTCCATTTAAACAAATTATAATGAAGTTACTATATTATGTTTTTGCTTTTGTTTTGTGATTATTTAACAAAAAATAATAATTTGTATCAATAAACCAGTGGTGAACCCAGGGGGGGTGGATCCCGGGTCCGGACCCTCCCCCATGCCTCATGCCATAGTATTTATATTTATTTTATATTTTTTAAAGTTACTGAAGTTTTCATCAAAACTTATTGATTAGAGTTATTATTAGTCACTATATTGTTGATAACACGACAAATCTGATAAATAGATAAATAAATAAAATCAACGATTGTCGATGACCTGCTATATCATAATAGTTGCAACCGCAGTGCAAGATAAAATATATATATATGCATGTATATGCATACATTCGTATGTCGTATAATATACAATATATAAGATATTATCTCAATCCGCAGGTTTTCTATGAGTTTTACTGACCGGCGATAGCCGATAATATATAAATATGAGCGATAAGACGAGCGGTGTGAGTGTATTACTAAAATATACATTATAAAATATCAATAATCATAATTTTTAAAAATCATAGTATATTTGAAATAAAACTATGTATTGATAAACAATTGACGAAAACCGAAAATTTTGATTGTATTTTAAAGCAATGAAATATATTTATAATGTATATATTCAGGAAAAGAACAGAAAAATAGTAGATAAATAAATTTCTTTCCTGGATCCCCCCTTGAATAAATCATGGTTGCACCACTGATTGATTATGTACTCACAAAATGTTCGAACCAGGAAAACTAAACGATAAAAATGTATTAAAATTATTGCAATTAAATATTGTTAAAAATAAAAAAATGTTATTAACACGTGAGATTTCTATTTTAACCAGGACTTGGAAGTTGTAGCACTAAAAAATATTACTTTTTAGTCCTTAAATATGCATTTAACTCGAAATGTTATAACATTTTTAGAAAAAAAATTGAATGTAATATTAAAATATTATTAAAATGTTGGATTCATAGACATCAAAACTGTCTCGACTTGTTCAATTATAAACTATTAACAAACAATTTAAATTATTTAATTATATTTTAATATGTTATGCCCAGTTTATAATTTATGGCTTGTAGATAAAAGGGATTATTACTGTTAATACATACATACAGGTATCTTTAAATTAAATACACACACGCTCTTTTTGTAATCGAGTATTAAAATTTTATGTTCGTGCATTTGGTTTTAAATCCTAAAATTATATAGCCCATCATAAGGATATCCGGCAATTCAATAAATGTAAGACGTGATTAGCTTACCAGTTACCTTTGAAAACCAATGATTATACTTATCACGTATTGAATTTCTACTTACTAAACAAAGCAAAACCCACCCTATTGACTTTTTTTTTTATTGTGTTTTTATTAATTTACATTGCAATATCTTTATCAACATATTTCAAATATTTAATGACATATTTGTAATAGTACATATTAAAAGTAAACTGATAATTGTTTTTTTCTGCTATAACTATTTATATGTTTGTATTTCAGGTATAACAAACTATATAGAAGTGGCTGGCTGTCATGACGACAGATATCTCTGTGGTCCGGTGGGATCCGGCCATACAACAAGATGGAACTGGTATTGTCGAAGACTATGAATATGATGGTGGAAACTCGTCATCCAGACTATTTGAAAGATCCAGAATTAAGGCTTTAGCTGGTTAGTTATGATTATAGTTGTCTCAGAAGTAATAAATAACATGTAGTTTTATTGAATGGGGTCGTAGAAAGTAATCCCTCTGATAATACCACCCCTCGAGTATTATTTATGTTATCTTTATATGTCTAGAGGATTTTAATCATTATTAATATTATTATTATTTTATTATGATATTGTTCTCAGACGAAAGAGAAAGTGTCCAGAAAAAAACATTTCAAAAATGGGTGAATTCCCACCTAGTTCGTGTACATTCTCGAATCGGAGATTTATACATAGATCTCAGAGATGGCAAAATGCTTATAAAACTTTTGGAAGTTCTTTCTGGAGAACGATTAGTAAGTCTACTTAAATTTTAAAACTTATTTATTTATTTATTTATTTATTTTTACCTATTGTTTTTTATAGCCAAAACCTACTAAAGGAAAAATGAGGATACATTGTTTAGAAAATGTAGATAAAGCTCTGCAGTTTTTGAAAGATCAAAGAGTACATTTGGAAAATATGGGATCCCATGATATTGTTGATGGAAATCCAAGACTTTCATTAGGTCTCATATGGACTATCATTCTTAGATTCCAAGTATGTTTTTACTATAATTTATACTATTTTTTGTATATTAAAAGAAGGAATATAATTTATCATAGTATTTTTATTTTAGATTCAAGATATTACTATTGAAGAAACTGACAACAAAGAAACAAAATCTGCAAAGGATGCTTTGCTTTTATGGTGCCAGATGAAAACAGCTGGATATCACAATGTTAATGTTCGTAACTTTACTACTTCCTGGCGAGATGGTCTTGCGTTCAATGCAATCATCCACAAACATCGTCCTGACCTTGTGCAATTTGAAAAACTTAACAAATCTAATGCCATGTATAACTTAAATAATGCTTTTAATACTGCTGAAGACAAATTAGGAATTGTAAAATTATTGGATGCTGAAGACGTATTTGTTGAACAACCAGATGAAAAATCTATTATTACATATGTTGTAACATATTATCATTACTTCAGTAAAATGAAACAAGAAACAGTTCAAGGAAAGAGAATTGGACGTGTTGTAGGTATAGCTATGGAAAATGAACGTACAGCTCTTGAATATGAACGTTTAACTAGTGACTTATTACAATGGATTAAGCAGACAAAAGAATCATTAGCTGAGAGAAAATTCTTAAATTCCTTAAATGGTGTCCAACAGCAACTACAACAATTTAATAACTATAGAACTGTTGAAAAACCTCCAAAATTCGTTGAAAAAGGAAATTTGGAAGTGTTACTTTTTACATTACAATCTAAAATGAGAGCTAATAATCAAAAGCCATATACTCCCAAAGAAGGAAAAATGATTTCTGATATTAACAAAGCTTGGGAACAATTAGAAAAAGCTGAACATGAAAGAGAGTTAGCATTAAGAGAAGAAATCATAAGACAAGAAAAACTTGAACAGCTAGCTCAAAGATTTAACAGAAAAGCAAGCATGCGAGAAACATGGTTAAGTGAAAATCAACGTCTTGTTTCTCAAGTTAGTTTTAAATAAATTAGTAACTTTTTTTTTTATGAAAATAATAAAATTAAAAAATATTAACATGTTTTATTCTGCTTACAGGATAATTTTGGTCTGGATTTAGCTGCTGTAGAAGCAGCAGCAAAAAAACACGAAGCTATCGAAACAGATATATTTGCATATGAAGAACGAGTAGAAGCTGTTGTTACTGTTGCACAAGAACTTGAAACAGAGGACTATCACGATATTGTCCGTATAAATGCAAGGTACACTTTTATTTATCTATATTTATAGTTCTATGTACTATATTTTTTATTTTTCAGAAAAGACAATGTTCTTCGTTTATGGAACTATTTACTAGAGCTCTTAAAAGCTCGTCGTCACCGTTTGGAATTATCATTACAATTACAACAAAACTTCCAAGAAATGCTGTATATATTGGATTCAACAGAAGAATTGAAAATGAGACTTCTGTCTGATGATTATGGAAAACATTTAATGGGAGTTGAAGATCTTCTTCAAAAACATAGTCTTGTAGAAGCAGACATTAATGCTTTAGGTGAAAGAGTAAAAAGTGTAGTGCAACACTCGCATAAATTCTTGGATGAAGAAAACACAGAAGGCTATAGACCATGTGATCCAGCTGTTATTATTGAAAGAGTTCAGGAACTTGAAGATGCTTATAGTGAATTGATCAAATTGACTGTTGAAAGAAGAGCTCGCCTTGAAGAGAGTAGGAAATTATGGCAATTTTATTGGGATATGGCAGATGAAGAAAACTGGATTAAGGAGAAGGAACAAATTGTTTCTGCTGGAGATATTGGTCATGACTTGACCACTATTAATTTATTGCTTTCTAAACATAAAGTAATTAAATATTTTTGATTTTTATTGACTACTCATGTCTAATTTATTGTTATTGTTGTTTTATTAGGCACTTGAAAATGATATACAGAGTCATGAAAGTCAATTACTTGAAGTAGTCCAAGTTGGAGAAGATTTGATAAACAGCAACCATTTTGGCGCCGATCGTATACAGGAACGAGTATCTAGTACACATTCTATGTGGGAACATTTAATCTCATTGGCCAAACAAAGACGCAAACGTTTAGAAAACGCAGTTGATTATCATCAAGTAATTTTATTGTTTTGAATAATTATTTGTACATGCTTCTTAATATTTTTAACAAATTATATTTTGTTCTAAAAATAGTGGTTTGCTGATGCTGATGATGTAGATATATGGATGTTAGATACATTGAGACTTGTATCATCTGAAGATGTTGGTCGTGATGAAGCTAATGTTCAGTCATTGTTAAAGAAACACAAAGAGGTATTGACAGTTAAAATGTTTTCCTAACTATTATATTATATTATTCTTCTTATATGTAAAGAGGTAAGTGAAGAATTACAATCTTATTCACAAACCGTAGAAGCTTTACGGTCTCAAGCCAATCAATTAAGTGCTGAACCTGGTGCGCCGACAAGTGGACCTGAAGTAAATGAGAGAATGTCATCTATTGACAAGCGTTATAAAGAATTGGTTGAACTGGCCAAACTTCGTCATCAAAGACTTTTGGATGCTCTTTCTTTATATAAACTCTTCAGTGAAGCTGATGCTGTGCAACAATGGATTGGAGAAAAGGTATTATATAAAATTGTTTTATTTCAAATTTATTGAGAGATAATATAACGATTATAATTATAAAAAAAAAAAAACTTTAGAACCGTATGTTGGAAACTATGAGCCCTGGTAAAGATATAGAAGATGTTGAAATAATGAAACATCGATATGATGGTTTTGACAAAGAAATGAATTCCAATGCATCACGTGTTGCCGTTGTTAATCAATTGGCACGACAATTACTTCACGTTGAACATCCAAACTCAGATGAAATTGTTAACAGACAAAACAATGTAAGATTTAAAGTTCTTATTTTTCTTCAAATTTATTACAAATTTGTTCATAATAATTTTTTAGTTGAATCACGAATGGGCTGATCTACGGGATAAGGCTGAAAGCAAACGTGACCAACTTAATTCTGCTCATGGTGTACAGACTTTCCATATTGAATGTAGAGAAACTATTTCATGGATTGAAGATAAAAAGAGAATTTTACAGTCTACAGACAGTCTAGAAATGGATCTTACTGGAATAATGACATTACAGGTAAAATGTTCAATTCAACTGTTAATTTTTTTAACCAGTTAGAAAATAAAGTATATTAAAAGTTAAAATGTGACTTTAAATTTGTAAATTTACAACAGCGTCGTTTATCTGGCATGGAAAGGGATTTAGCTGCTATTCAAGCTAAATTAGACTCATTAGAATCTGAAGCAAAATTGAATGAAAAAGAACATCCTGAAGAAGCTGCCGTAATTCGAGAAAGAATTGAAACTATTCAAAAAGATTGGGAAGAATTAACACAAATGGTAATGCAATTACTAAATAAATTCTATTAATTATAATAAATTATTTTGTTGTTTTCTTTTATTTTATTCGAATTATTTAAAGAAATATTAATTTTATTGTTCCTTAGTTGAAAGAACGTGATTCTAAACTGGAAGAAGCTGGTGACCTTCATCGTTTCTTACGTGATTTAGATCATTTCCAAGCATGGTTGACTAAAACTCAAACTGATGTTGCTTCAGAAGATATTCCATCATCACTATCAGATGCTGAGAAACTACTTTCCCAACATCAAGCTATTCGTGAAGAAATTGATAACTATACCACAGATTATACTCAAATGATGGAATATGGAGAGAAAGTTACTGCTGTATGTACAACCTTGTAATTATATAAATTATATTAAAATAAAAATGATGTGTAATTTTATTTGTTTTAGGAGCCTGGAACACAAGATGATCCTCAATACATGTTCTTGAGAGAGCGACTCAAAGCTTTGCGTGATGGATGGCAAGAGTTACACAAAATGTGGGAAAATAGACAACAACTTCTTTCTAAGTCGCTTAATCTACAAATGTTTAATCGCGATGCTCGTCAAGCTGAAGTATTACTTTCTCAACAAGAACATGCTCTATCTAAAGTTGAAGTACCAGTAAGTTAAATTTATTTATATATTTAAGTTAAACTAAAAATGGAGGAATATTTATGGTTTTATTTTTTTTATTTTTTCCTAGTCTAATCTGGAACATGCTGAAAATCTTATAAAACGTCATGAAGCTTTCTTAACCACAATGGAAGCTAATGAAGACAAAATTAATGCTGTCACTCAATTTGCAAATAAACTTGTTGATGAAGACCATTTCGAAGCTGATAAAATTAAAAAGAAAGCATCATCCATACAAGAACGACGTGAAGCCAACCGTGATAAAGCTCAAGAACTTATGGATCAACTTAGAGATCAATTACAACTTCATCAATTCCTACAAGATTCAGATGAACTCCAACAATGGATTCAAGGGAAGAAGTTTACAGCTCAAGATGAAACTTACAGAAGTGCAAAGACCGTACACAGCAAATGGACACGTCATCAAGCATTTGAAGCTGAAATTGCATCCAATAAAGACAGATTAGATAGAGTAAAACAATCAGGAGAAGAGTTAATGAAAGAGAAACCTGAATTAGCTCAAATCATTCAACCAAAGATATCTGAAATGATGGGTCAATTTGATGATCTTGAAAAGACTACAAAAGAAAAGGGTGAACGGTTGTTTGATACTAATAGAGAAGTACTCATTCATCAGACTTGCGAAGACATTAATTCATGGATGGATGATCTAGAAAAACAAATTGAAGCTGCTGACACTGGATCTGATTTGGCATCAGTCAATATTCTTATGCAGAAACAACAAATGATTGAAACACAAATGGCTGTAAAAGCAAAACAAGTTGTTGAATTGGAAACACAAGCTGAGCACTTAAAAAAAACTGTCCCAGAAAAGGTTGAAACAATTATTCCTAAGAAAACTAAAGTGGAAGAAAGATTTGAACAACTTAAAGAACCATTGAAAGTTAGACAAAGACAGTTGGAAAAAAAGAAAGAAGCATTCCAATTCAGAAGAGATGTTGAAGATGAGAAACTTTGGATCACTGAAAAAACTCCATTGGCTACATCTACAGAATATGGAAATAGTTTATTCAATGTCAACATGTTACAAAAAAAAAATCAAGTTAGAAAATTAATTTTAATCTATACATTATATTTTTTGTTTGTGTTAGAGCTATTAATAATTATTTTATGATTTTATTTCAATCTTTGGGTAATGAAATTGACAACCACGAACATCGCATTAATCTTGTCTGCAGCAATGGTCAAAAGCTAATTGATGAAGGGCATGAAGATGCTTCACAGTTCACAGATCTCATACACGATCTAACTCAACGCTGGCAACAACTGCAACAATCTGTTGAACATCGCAGGAAAATGTTACTTCAATCTGAAAAAGCTCAACAAGTATGTTTGTGTAATCATTTGTAAACATTACAATGTGAACTTTATTTAAATTATAAATAATACAATATATCTATATGTATTTATAATTTATACATTTACAGTACTTCTTCGATGCCAGCGAAGCAGAAAGTTGGATGGGTGAACAAGAATTATACATGATGGTGGAAGAACGTGGAAAAGATGAAATCTCAGCTCAAAACTTGAAAAAGAAGCACGAATCTTTAGAATTGGCTGTTGATAACTATGCAGACACAATTAGACAGTTGGGCGAAACTGCTCGCCAACTTACAAGTGAAATGCATCCTGAAAGTGACCAAATAGCTGTAAAACAGTCTCAAGTTGACAAATTATATGCTGGTCTAAAGGATTTAGCTGGAGAGCGTCGAGCAAAATTAGATGAAGCTTTGAAATTGTTCATGTTGCACCGTGAAGTAGATGATTTAGAACAATGGATTGCGGAACGTGAAATTGTTGCCGGTTCACATGAACTTGGTCAAGACTATGATCATGTAACTGTAAGTTATTTTTTTTTTTTGGTTAAATTTTTCTATTCATATGTTATTTACTCTTTATATTTATAGTTATTATGGGAGAGGTTTAAAGAGTTTGCTCGTGATACTGAAGCAACCGGTAGTGAACGTGTTGCTACTGTCAACGGTATTGCTGATCAACTTATTAACATTGGCCATAGTGATTCAGCTACTATTGCTGAATGGAAAGATAGTCTAAATGAACAATGGCAAGATTTACTTGAACTTATTGAAACTAGAACTCAAGTAAATTTTTTTGAGAACAAACCTTTTCTTTGTTCAATAAAAAAAACATATTTATTTTTTTAGATGTTGGTTGCTTCACGAGAGTTACATAAATTCTTCCATGATTGCAAAGATATGGTTAGTCGTATTGCGGAAAAAAGCCATGAAATGTCTGAAGATCTTGGTCGTGACGCTGGCTCTGTCCATACATTACAACGTAAACACCAAAGTTTCTTACAAGATCTACATACTCTTAGCTCTCAGGTTCAAGCAATCAGTGAGGATTCTGCTCGATTACAAACATCCTATGCTGGAGACAAAGCAAAAGAAATCACTGGAAGAGAAGCAGAAGTTGTGAGTGCTTGGGCTGCTTTACAATCAGAATGTGAACTACGTAAACAAAAATTAGCTGACACCGGAGATTTACATAAGTTCTTCAATATGGTTAGAACACTAACTTTATGGATGGATGACGTAGTTAGGCAGATGAATACATCAGAAAAACCAAGGTAACTTAACAATGATAATTGTAATATTTTGTAATATTTTGTAATATTTTTTAATATTTTAGAGATGTTAGTGGTGTAGAACTATTAATGAATAATCACCAAAGCTTAAAAGCAGAAATTGATACCAGAGAAGATAATTTCACGGCTTGCATTTCCTTAGGCAAAGAATTACTTTCAAGAAACCATTATGCTTCTAATGAAGTAAATAATTTGTTTATTCAATTTAAAATTGACACTCATATATAATTGTTTGATTCTTTTAGATCAAAGATAAACTATTGCTTTTGAACTCTCAGAGAAGCTCATTACTTAATAGGTGGGAAGAGCGATGGGAAAATCTTCAACTAAGTTAGTATTTTGTATTTAATTACTATTTTATATTATATGTATATAATGTACAATGTCAATTTTTTAGTTTTGGAAGTATATCAATTTGCCAGAGATGCTGCAGTTGCTGAAGCATGGTTATTGGCTCAAGAACCATATATCATGAGCCTGGAATTAGGAGTAAGTAATTGAAACAGTCTTATTAAAACTATTGTCTATGAGATTTCTCTTTTTTTTCAGATGACTATTGATCAAGTAGAAAATTTGATCAAGAAACATGAAGCATTTGAAAAATCAGCCATTGCACAGGAAGAAAGATTCTGTGCATTAGAACGTTTAACCACCGTATGTATAAATAAGTTTTTTCATGATATAATAAACTGCGTTTATAAATAATGATAACAATAAATATTTTTTATTTAGTTTGAATTGAAAGAAATTCAACGTAGAAAAGCAGAAGAAGAACGAAAACGCCAAGAAGAGCTAGCTAAACAGGCAGCTCAAGCTGAAGCTGAAGCAGCAGAAAAGTCTGCGTATGTCAATCATTTTTTTAATTTTCCATTAATAAAATTTATATTATCTTATTTCATTTAAAAATAAATTCATATTTTTCCTTTATTTTACAGAGCGGAAGAAGCATCAAAAGTAGATGGAAAACAGACTAAAGATGGGGAAGGTCGTCCTGGTAAGTTAACTTTTGTGAAATTAATTTATATATCTATAATGCATGCAAAATTTTGGTTATAAACAATTTAAAGAAATTCATTGTTGATGTTGGATTTTTGGTTGAAATTGATATTGGTTGAAACTCACTGATAATTTATTGGTGTTGCTTCAAGAAAAAAACCTTAATAATAATTATTTAATGGACTTATAATCGATTACAGAATTTTATTTTGTAATCTGATAAATTTATAATTTTCTAATGAAAATGTGTTAAAATATTTTTACTCTTGTTTATCTAAATACAATGAAATCATTAGATATGTATGTATATTTGCTTAATGGAAGAAAATTACTAATGTGAAAAATAGTTATATGTACCAGTGTGGTTCAGCTCTAAGCCGAAAATAAGTAATATATTTTTTTTTTATTATATAATTATAGTATTTGTTATTTTATTACAGTACACGATATTCAAAAACTTGCTAAAGAAAATTAATTTTTGGTCCTTTAATTATATTAATTAAATGAAAAATAATTTTCTCTTCAATGATTTATATTAAATAAGGTTGGAACTGCACTGATACAAGTTTAATATGCTCTAGGAATGTCAATAGTGTAATATATATTTATAAATATTAAATATGTTTTTAACAATTCGGTTTAAAGTTTGATCAAATTTACGAAATATGATGTAAATAAACACATTTATAATTTTACTGCTATTGCAAATTATAAATACACAATATATTCACATTTATTTGATCTGACCGTCAATCGTGTACAAACTTTTTTAAATAGTAAATAAAAATTGCGTCATCGATGTTAATCTACAACATTTTAATTGAGTAAATTATAAGTGATAAGTTGGGGATTACAAATTTTAAAAACAATATTGACACATGTATAATATGAACATATTGTTTTTCTGTTATTTGCACGCTTGCGTTCTCTAAACCTAACATTAGCGTCAATACGTAAACCTCCACCCACTAACCTCGCACTGACATCGCCCATCGAAAAACCGACCGCAGGTCAGTTAATATAATTTAAAACAATTATAACATACATGGAATGTATTTATTTTGTTCTAATATATATATTATATAATATTTTGAATGCATTTATTTATTCTTATTATTTATAAGTGCTTAAATTGCATTATTTTACTTTCAGCACCATATTATTGCATGGCTCGCGTTAACATTTTAATTGTAGTTTAAGCGTTATTTATTTATTCTTTTCATTTTGGCATGAAATTGAATTGAAAGTGTTTGTTATTAACATTTGTAGTGCATGACAGCTCTGCATCAAGTAGGAAGAGCATTGCCAGTCCCGCTGCACCTGCAGGGGTCGCTAGATCTGCATCTACCTTGCCCTCAAGTAAGTATTTCGGCTATTTCGAGCGTAACGCTTGCGGCTTTCGTTAAAATAAATAAATTGTTTAAATTAAACGTGTAATCGTTAGCATGTGTCGTCGTGCTTTCGTGTTCAGGCATGATACTATGTGATGACGTTTATTTTAGTTTGCTTGTTTGTAAAAGTATTTCTGTTTGTGTGTGTATTTTGAAAACGTAGCTTCGCGAAGCCAATTAGTCAAAGACCGCAACAAGGACAGGTCACGCTCAAAGTCACCATTCCGCAGTTTCCGGTGGAAAAAGTCACCACAAAAGAGCCCGTTGTCAGCTGTGTCAGCTAGCGACGACGAGGCTACCGTTGAACCTACTTCAGGTATTGTAATCTTAACACATGAGGCTGCGACATCAGCCGCTATTTCGCTTATAAGTTTTGCGCATAATGGTTCTATTACAATAAACCCTCCTCTATACACGACAATGAGCATACTTTAGGGTCTATATTATTAAGGGGATTGTGTTTCTGTCCATTGCATTTGTCTTAACGGCGTTTTCGGTCGTTGTTACAGATCAATCAGCCACTGAAGCTGATGGTGAAATTCTAGAAGGTATACTCAACAGGAAACACGAATGGGAATCTACCACGAAAAAAGCGTCCAACAGGTATACATAATTTATTTTTGTTTTCAAAACTGATAATAATGTTGTTTTACATGCTAAACTTAAAAATTAATGAAAATATTAAATTATAGAATTTAATAGTTGTGATATAAAAGTATGTGTAGAAAACTAAGAGGAGATAAGTGAAAAAAAAGTGAATAACATTTTAAATCGGAGTCGTTTAAGAATAAGTTATTGCATTAACGCCTATCGATTACTGATAGAATAACACTTCTTATTAATATTGCTATTGGACCTGTTTGTCCTCGATGTATAAATTAGTATCATATCATTGTGACCATTTTCGCATGAGAAGCTGAGGTAGAAATCGTTTTCTTGGAAACCGGTTGATTTTGGTTTGAAGTCAGTTCTTCAAAATCTGACACATTCGTATGGAAAATATGGTGGCTTTGTAACGTAATACCGGTGCTCAAACACATGCAGTTGCGTTCGATAAAAAATTTCTTCGCGTGAAGACTAATATGTAATTAAAGCGTTAGGATATGTTGCTCGAATTGTGGATAATTTGGTCCTTTCAAAAATATAAATTACCGAGTAAAATAATTCTAAAACTATTTTTAAAACGAATAATCATCTCACCAAAAGTGGTGTTTGTAGAATTCACTCGAAACAATATTAAAGTCGAGTCTCATCAAATAATTGGCTATTGCAAACAGTGTCCAAAGGAGAATAATATAACATTTGGTTCCGCTGTCGATTTATTAGCGAAGTGAACAAATTCTGCTTTTCTGTTGACTGTGAAACTGCTATTAAAAGGTATAAAAACGTCCACGAGACATCGGTCGTACCGAAATACCTAGAAATACCTAGAGAACCCCTATAGAACGGTTTCGAATCGCGGGAGTGTTCCGTACCTACGGGTATTACTATGCCGTATACCGACGGCAGAAAAGTTTCTCGTTGTTGTTCGCGCACGCGTTGCGCGTTCGACGTAGAAAGAAAAAAAAAAAAAACGAAGCCCCGTCCGCTAACCGAAACCGCGGTTCGCCGCGCCGTGTTTCCAGGTCGTGGGACAAGGTGTTCGTGTGCGTGGTCGGCACGAACTTGGCGTTCTACAAGGACGCGAAAGCGGCAAAAACGTCGCCGGACACGTACTTCAAGGGCGAGGCGCCGATCGATCTGCGCGGCGGCTCGGCCGAGGTGGCCACCGACTACACCAAGAAGAAGTTCGTGCTGCGCGTGAAGCTGGCCAGCGGCGCCGAGTTCCTGTTCCAGGCGCGCAACGACGCCGAGATGCACCAATGGGTGAACACGCTGAAGGCGGTGTGCGAGCAAGACGCGGCGGGCACGCAGTCGCGGTCGCAGACGCTTCCGGCCGTGGGCGACAAACGCGGCGACGAGCCCAAACGCCGTAGCTTCTTCACGCTAAAAAAGGTGTGAGCCCCGAACCGTAAACGTTGACGGCCACCACTCGACGACAAAAACAAACAGCACACGTTTAAAAAAAAAAAAAAAAAAAAAAAACAAAAATAATAATGTCTCGCTCGTTTTTTTCTCCTATTACCGACGTGCAATCCCCCCTCCCCCCAATAAAGCGCAGACTAGACCACTGCCACAAGCCCACTCCTCGAGCGGGCGACGGGTCTTCAGTCGTCGCGGCGACCAGAGACTCGCATCATCTCCATCGCGCGTTTTTCGATTTTTTTATTTTATTTTTTCCAAATCGTTCGAGTAACAGTTAATTAATTATTATTACTACTGTTGTCGGAAGCTAAAGATAATATATTATTCCTTTATACTCGCTTCGAAATATGAAATCAATAATAATATAACATACCTATTACGTGATCACGGAAAGCAGCATACGCCCGTGTGAACATTTTAACTTTGCACATCAACGTTTTATTATTATTTTATATTTTATACGTGTACCAATTAACCAAAACAATATATAAATGTTTAGTTTTATTTATTTTAGATCTTAGAGATGTTTTATTTATTTAATGTATTTTTATTTATTTATTTATTTTATTTTATTTTTTTTTTTTTTAACGCCTATTTACACCCGTTTAATACATCTAATTTATTTATAAAAACAAATATATTAAGATAATATTGACACGTTGTTCATATTTAAAGTATTATTTTTGTTATAAATTTAAATAACAATATGCCTGGTCGATGAATATTAAAAAATATAATATATTTAGAGCAATCTTAGTATTTTTAAGAATTTTTGATGATTTATTTATATATAGCCATTTATATATAAATATAATTTTTTAAATTACTTTATTAAAATTTATGGAAAAAAAATTTTCTTATAGAAATCACACAATTTTTAGTTACCTTTAAGGCTTTAAAATGTACATTTTAATATGATTTTGCTATATTTATTTTTAAATAATATATATTTAAAATATAAATCTATATAATATAATATAATTCTACTATCCGGCGTTTGGTTCCTCTGCGCTATTTTTATTTTGTGCTATGAGAAAATTGTTAATTTATGAGATGGAAATAAAAATATAATTGATGAGTATACTTAAAATATTACTATATTAGGTAGAAATATATACCTATGGATATTTTCAATGTTTTATGTAATTAAAAGATATTATATATTTAACTTTGCTTAAAAAACAAAATTTAAAAAAATTGAATTGTTTTAGTGGATATAATAAAATTATCTTCAACGAAAATATTCAGCGTGTTTTATTTTAATTTACACTGCAACTCAACATGAATCCTCAAAACCTAAAATTCTGTTCATTGGTAGTTTACCTTAGATTGATGACTATAACATTATATGTCTGATTAAAAAATAAAATTAATAATCAACTAATAGTACTATATTTTATGACTGACTAAAAGAAAAAAAATTAACTTTACTCATAATTTATTTCTAAAATAAAGGAAATGTGAAGAACCAGTACGATTCCAAATTTAATAGTTATCAAAATAACAGGTATATTTGTAGCAATTAATTAATTCTACCCAACCTCAAATCAGTTTTGTGATTGCAACAATAAAAGTTTACATGAAACATTGATTTTAGAAGTTACTTTATTTATTCTAAAATCAATGTAATAATTATCTAATTTTTAAAAATATGTCCTATTTAACCTTCTATAAGTTGATTTATGCGTCAAATTAATTTATATACTTGTCTAACTTGATTAATTCCAAATGCATTGTGGTAATACAACTAATTGTTGATAAAATGATTAAAAAATAATTTTCAAAACTAATATATACACGTATATTACAAGATGACATAATTATTAGATTTTTTTTCTTTTTGACTATTATTGTTTTTCTCCATAGCCCAAATATCATTTTTTTACTATATTTAAAATTAAAAATAATTTACTCACTTATAGTCGATATAATATATTTGATATTATAGTCAATCATAATGGTTGGCAAATTGAAGCATTCAGGATAAATTTACATTGAATGGTTAGATAAGGCAGAAAGTTCAATACTTACACCAAAACCAACAAAGCATAGATAATATATATAATGCTGCCAACAAACTTTCACATGACTTAACTTGTATACATAATTAATTTAATTATTACCTTTCTGTATTCGCATACTAGTGATGTCTACCAAAATATGTACCAATTATAGGTAATACTATCAATAATCCATACGACTTGAAGTTAACTTGAAATCAATCAGGACACTTCTTCAGATTTATATCCTCAACTTCAATAATATAAAAATATTTAAATATTGTATTCTCTATTTAAAATAATAGTTAAGTATAATTTAAAACATTGGCCTCATCAATATCAAATAAACTTCATGCCAATATCTATTTTCAGAATTTTCATTGTTGTAATTCATCAACCTTTAATGATGGACAAAAAGTAGGCAGTTTTTATAATATTGCTTTGGATAAAATCAAAGAAAATATATCGGTTTCGAATCCTTTAATCTTACCTTTAGGTAAAATAGCAGACTAAAAATAGGGTAAAAACAACATATTTACAACAAATCAGCCTACATAAAATATATATTTGATTTTATTACAATTATTACTCATTCATAAACATAATATATATATTAATATTTAATATATAAATTAAATGTTAGTTGACTCATTCTATGTTAAAAAAAATAATATATATATATATATATACATATTATATATATTTTTTAAAATACTATAAACTATAATCAGTCAATACACACTTTGGAACCCGAAAAAGAAAGAAATACTAAGTTTCACTAAGATAAATAAAAAAGAAGAAAAAAGAAAAAACCAAATAAATTAAATGGTACTATATATAAATCCTAAATAAAATAAAACCCTAATTAATAATACAAAAAGACCCGTGAAAATCATTGACAAAAATAATATTAAGATTATTTAAGCTAAATAAAATAACATAGGGACTGTAGCAAACCAAAAGATAATTGTGCGGTGTATACAATTTCTAAAATAAATTGAAAAAATATCAAATAAAACCATGTGCAAAAAGCACACATAATATTAGACTGAATAAAGTTATAAAATGTTGATGGTAAATCAGTTCCATAATATCTTTGGTAATATTAATTTCATACATGGTAAAACTATGATTATGACTGTTACAATATTTATTGCTAAAGAATATAAATTGAAATACTATGTAGTAATAGATGATTTATTCAACCAAATGAATAAAAAATAGTTTTGGATCATCTCTTAATTATTAACTAAAAATACAATTCAACGGTAATATTTGAATAATATTATGGTTTTTCAATTTTTTTTTTCAGTCTTAGACTCGTTTGGCCTTTATAGATGTTGCTGTAAAAGCAAACTTTGTTAATAAATATTTATACAATAAAATTTGATTGTTTCTTTTTCATTACTTATTATCATTATTGGCACTCTAAATATATATATATATTCTAAAATTAAATTTATAAATGTATAATAAATATACACATTTACCTATGTATATACTTTTATATATTTAATACATTAATAAAAATATTTAAAATTAAATTTCAGGTATAAATTTACAATTTAAAACAATGAAGAATCAAAACCGGTAAAAATTGACCAAACCCTTCCCCCCATCATACATATATATATATATATATATATATATATATATATATATGTACAAATGTATATGTGTATTATATATATTTTCATAATATTAATAGACATAAGTTAATTAATCAATAGTTAATCATGAAGGATTATCCATAATTTAAACCTCCAAATGAGTCATGCGCGAAGCGCACCCGATATCAAAAATTTCACCGGCCGATGCTGGTGGAAATAGTGGTTAAAGTGGAGATAAAGGTGGCCCTGAAGTTGCCTGGCTTGTTAATTGATATGGAGATGGGAGATCCAATGAGATTTTGTTTAGGAACGGTGAAGAGGGCGGTTGCTGTATAATGTAACCACCGGTTGTATTGGTGGCATTTGAAGACTGGTTAAAACAAGCGACAGGTGATGAACCAGTCAGATATGAACCAGCAGTATTATTGATGGGTTGTTGTACTGGAGTCGATTGCTGATGTGGTTGGTGTTGTTGCTGTTGCTGCTGGCCGACCGTGGTATTGTTGTACACTTGATATGTACCCGAGTTATTCGGGTTGGAGGTTGTGTGCTCCTTGTGGTAGATGTTAATGTGTGCACGTAGACTGTATTTGTTCTTAAACACCTTACCGCACACACTGCAACCAGCAGGATTGTATTCATCACTATGCCTAATACGCATGTGTTTTAATAGGTTAGACTTATTGGAGATCACTTTTTGGCACAAAGGACATGGCCGACGTCCTAGACGGTCTGAAAAAAAAAAAAAAACCAAATAATTTTATTTACTAAAATAACATAAGTGTCAAAACGGATGAGGTAAATTAGACATTGTGCAACATAATTCGTGCAATTATCAAGATGGTGAGTACCATATCACCAACACAAAATTAATATTTGTGTTATTAGCCTATATATCAATATATATATATATATATATTGATATAACTGGCACTGTATTTGAAATTAATTACTATTAAATAAATAAAGTATTACAATTTATAATTGTATAATAGTTCAGATCAACATAGTAATAATCATAAACTATAAGATTTATTTATATTTTTTAATAATTATTATTCTATGGCAGCTAATTACAATATCATTATTCAATAATGTAATAGCTAACATCAAAACAATAACATATAATTCATAATTAACACTGTCAACTAAGAAATATCAACATTGACTGAAGAAATTCAAACAAGACTTGTATACAATATGAGTAAAATAGTAATAACCTACTTAAAAGTTAATATATACTTCTTGAAATTATGTACATATTTCTGTATATTTTAAAACCTACAAATAAAGAAAAAAGACACAAGATAATGACAAAAATTACATAGCCCTATCGCTAACAGTCATATTATACTTCTTTGTTGTATCATAGTTATACTTACAAATAATATATGATTGAATTGAAAAATATAATACCCAAAATGCTTTAATTCATTCATATTTTATTTGAAAGTATAACTATGATACTACAAAGAAATAAAATGTAACTTAAAATCAAAAAATAATATTAAATAATTTATGAACAAATGTTATAAATAAATATTTTAAGTACTTAGGAAAACTTTTACAGTAAAATATTCATGTAATCAAAAAAAAAAAATTCTGAATAATAATATTTAATACTTATTTAATTTATTCATATATACAAAAATACTAAATTGACCTTATGAACATAAAATGTTTACAAGTTTAGGTTATTATGAATTAATTACTCCATTATAATATTGATAATATTGAATTTACATATTACAACAAATTAATTAAATAACTGAAGTTCTAAATAAATTGTATTCAGTTATACCTACGTAGTTAAAAACATATCCTATTATTTTTATTTGCTTACTGAGATTACTGTTTTACTTAATTTAGTTTGAATATAAATAATTTAATTAACAATTTTAATAATTGGCACATGTCTTTAAAATAAATAATACTTGGGTCAAATCAAACATTGAAATATTATTACAAACAACATAAATATTTAACAAAATAATAAAAATGGAAATAGTTAATAGAATACATTAGTATAATTTAATAATCTGTCATAAGAATAAAAATATATTATATACTATATTCCTAATGATTGCTTAGGAATATAGTCAACTTTTAATTTACATCCAATAAAAAAATTGATTTTTCGATCATATATTTTTAATTTTAATACAACATGCATTCAAAAATAAACCAACCATAATGAATAATTTCTAAAATAATATTATAACAAAATACTCATAGTCGATAATTTTATCAAAATATATGTTAATTATTGTTATTAATTTTTTAAATTTTAATCAAGAATTTATTATATTATTACATTAACCTAAGTACTGAAGAATAATAATTTATGGGTAAATACAATTACAGTAATCTGTACAATACTATCCTTATACTTTGTCCTAAACCTCCATTAGTCTTATTTTCTTCATCCCTTATGCATACACCAACAGCCCTCATACATTCTCAATTGTATGTAACCATATCTTCTTTTGGTCTTCCTCTTCCTCTTTTCCCTTCAACGTTCATTTTCATAACCATAACTCTTACTGCATTTATTTTTTCTTATTTCATCACATGTCCAAACATCTCCTCAGTCAATTTTCTCTCATCTTGTCCACTATTGATGCTATACCAATACTATCTCTCAAAAATTATCCTTATTCTACCTTCTCTTATCACTTCACTCATCCATCTAAGCATTCTCATTTCCACTACACTCATACTCTGTTCTATTCCCTTATCAACTGTATAACATTCTGAACCATTTAGCATAGTTGGTCTCACTACACTTCTGTAAAATTTACATGTCAGCCTTATTGAAATTCTTTTATCACATAAAACACCCGAAGCTTTTCTCCATTTCATCCAACCACACTTAATCCAATGTTTTATATCCATGCCAAAACCCCCATCCTTTTATACAAATAATCCTAAAAGTTTAAAGTTCTCAACTTCACCTATCACTTCATAGCTTATTGTCATGTGTCTCATCATCCTCTCAGCATCAGAGCATCTTTCTCCAAAGTCATATTCTATATACTCTATTTTATTTCTACTTATTCTCAATCTCTTTCTGTTAATTACTGTTAACACTTACATTTTGGATAATTTATTAAAAACACATTTTGAATAAGATAACTATACTAATAACCATTCATTATCAGTAAATTAAATAAATATGAACCATAGAATTTAAAAAGTAATACAAATTTAAACCAAATTCAATAAACCAATAACTTTCATCTAATAAAATGACATTTTTTGTACAATACATATATATGAATTAATATTATTAAAGTAAGATTTCATTTGAACCTAACTTTTAGTAACTGAAATTATTTTAATCAAAAAATATTTAAGTTCATAATTAATATTGAATGATAAGTGCTCCAATAGATTCATATATACACATAAATAAATTTACAATCCAATTGGTACTTAATTTTTTTTTCAAATGTATAAACAGTTTTAAAAAGCAATAAAAATATTTTTGACTAATTTTTAGTATTTTGTTTAATTTAAAAATCTTCTAACTAAATAAACATTTATGAATGTTTGGAATTTATACTTCTATTTTAAAATAATTTTGAATTTCGAGTTCTAAACCAATAGATGTATGTAATATAATGTAATTCAATAGACAAAATGCATTTGAATGTTTAAATGTTAGTATTTGTAATACTTGATAGTTACAAAAACCATTTGATTTATTTAAATTTATACAGTTTGTAAATTTTACTTAAATAATTCTAAACAAAATATATTTTTTATACAAATATTTAAAGTAAGACCAAGCATTTATTAACATAAAGTTTCATTAACTTCAGTCAAGAGCACTTTAAATATTTTGAATAAACTACAGTAAATCAAATTTTACTAGTAACTTTTTCGATTAACTAATGATTGTTTTTTATATTACATAATTTATCTAAGTAACTCATCGAAAAACTTTTGTTCAACATTAAAACCTCTAACTGATAACATTTTATTATATTAAATTGTATAAAATCAAAACATAACTAATTTTACCCAGAAACAATTTAAAAGTTACAATTAATAAACATGATAATTATATATATATATATATATATATATTAGTTACTGACTTGATAAATGGTTATACTTCAAGTGACTTGATCGAATAAAAATTATTATTAATACATAAAAAAGATAAATCCTAATTAACCTACTTGGAAAGTTTGATTTGAATTGAAAAACAAGAATCAGATTTCACGATTTCCAAAATACAACTGGATTTTTATGATTATAATGAAATTATAATTTGAAACAAGGATAATATAAATTAATAAATAATAGTATTAAAATATCAATGATTATACTTGGTGTCACTAATCTATCATTTCATTTTAAAATAAACAATAATTAAATAATTAATTACTTAAATGCATAATAAATCAATGATCAATGCATGAAACATACTGAAAACTAAAAAGTACAATTTTGACAAAATAAATAATACATTCCAATTTGGATAGAAGTCATAAAATAAATACCAATGCTCAAAAAGTTTATGTACTTTTTTGTTTAAGGCTTATGTTATTTAGAATATTTTTTATACTTGTATAACTATATATATTTACTATTTACAGACCGAATTTCATAAATTTCATCTTACTGTTATTTTGAAAAGAATAGTGTGTACAAATAATATTTTTGATTAAATAATCAACAGAAACCACCAAATAGAATAGTTTCAATATTGTTAGACAATTAACATAAAGCTGAAGTTAATAAATATTATGTTACTATTAACAATCAATATTACATTATATAATTAATCAATTAATTGGTGTTATACTTGTTTTAAGAGTAAAATTGTTAATTTTTGAATTTGTACATATTTGGAATGTTTAGTGCTCGAGACTTCCCTATCACAAACAATACACCATGCTCCGTCTGACCGACAACCATTTTTGTCCACTTACACAAAATATTTCATCAATCATCATCACAATCTGACATTGTGCTCTTGTCGCATGTGCGTTTTGTACGCCTCGCGATACACAAATGAACTGGGGCAAAGGTAACAACACAGCCGGCGCATCAAGTCCGAATGCATTAAACGCACATGATACTTCAGCGACGACTGGTTGTTGTACATCTGTCCGCAATGGGGGCAGTCCCCACACTGGGCCAGGTGGGATCCTGTAAAAATATGTGCGCCATCTGCATGGCTCATAAGCCACGAAATAAATTCATTTCCAATATGGGAAAAGATTGTTTCTTTTTTCTCATTAAATCGATATAATTTACCTACAATCTAATATGTTATTACGGATATGTAAATATTACCTGCAGTTGTTAATGATGAGTCAGAAATACATTGGTTGGTAGGTGTTGATGCTATTGCAAAATCAATACTACTAGACGAACTTGTGCGGATATCTGAAAATTTAATCAGTTTAATAGAATTTAAAATAAAAAATAAATATATATAAAAAAAATTACCTTTTGGATCATTTAACATACGAGAAGCAATTAATGACTTATCAAACATAGAAGTAGAATGTGAAGCATCTTCTTCTTTATCTAAATCCACATCTTCATAATCATCACCATCAGGTTCTTGTGCATACTGATCATCACCAAAATCATCTTTTGATCCGTCTTCATCAATATAACAATCGGTATCAATATTGCCATCATCCATGTCATCAACTTTTAATCGACTTAATATATCAGTTTCACTACCAGTTGTTTCATCCTATTAAATTATAAATAAATTACTATCGTATTAATTATCAAATATAATATTTTATTTTTACCATATACTCTGTACCATCATCTGAATGTTTTTTTAATTTTACTGGGAGACATTTCTTTCTTTTTGCAGATACTTTATCATTAGGAGAATTTGGGGATTCAGATTTAACTGTTGAAGATGATGTATCTTGCACCTCAGTTTTATTATTATTAGTAGACAGTTGCTGTAATGGGGGAACAGCATTCTTTTCCAAACTAGTTCTAGTTGATTCCTACAAAACAAATCAACTATTAAGTAAACTATTATAATTTTGCTTGATAAAAATATTGTATACTTACTAAATCTGTATTAATGGTTGAAGCAGCACCTGCAAGACCTCTGATCTGTAATAATTCAGCAGTACGTAAAAAGGATGCTAATTTTTTTTCTGATATATATACAGTGCCTTGGTACACAAAATTGAGCAATGCCTTAACATCATCTTGATTTACATCTTTTAAAATTACAACTGGATGTTTACAAGGATTATCCTAAAAATATGATCAATATATCAAAAGTGCAATATTAACACACAAACAAAAATAATCTACTTAAACATAATTAATAATAATCTTTAATTTACCTTGAATACATTCCGAAAATAAGAACTGCACATGGACAATACTACTTTATGAGCTTTGAACAGTTGTCCATCACATGATAAAGTGACATCTACAAGGTCTTCACTAGTACGAAGGCTGTCCAATTCGGTGACCATATTCAATGGATAGTTGTTCCATTTCAGACAAAAATGATCAGCAGTCATTGTGAATCCGAATCAAACATCAACAACAGTAAATCACCAAGCCCTGGAGCACAAGAAGTTAACTCTAAACAACAAATAATAAAACGTGTGGTTCAAGCATCATTTCAAGATCTGTTTGTCAACCCATTCACTGTTTAATAAAACTAATCATACTTCAACAACAATACCGTACACATGAATATTTAAATATAAAATGTGTGTATAAATATATTATTTTCATATAAACATAATATATGTAAATGTGTACCTTTTTAAGTCTATGTTATGGAAAAACAGAACTCCGGACTTACCGCACTAGTGAGCTATTCAGAGACATTCGTACTGGCAATGGACGCCAAAACGTTATTCACGTTTGACGGGGTGAATTACAAGCAAAGGACGAGGCCATTAATAAACCAACAATCAATGTTCTATTTAAGTAATAATTATTTCTTTTTTTTTTATTATTATTATTATTATTATTATTATTATTATTAATAACAATTAATTAAACTGTTCTTATCTAAGATGACTAATTCCACGCAGGTTGACCAATGGGCGGGACAAAGTCACACGTAAATGCACACTGCGCACACACGTTTTTCTGTCGTCTGTCCGCGCCGCCGTCGCGTTTACCCGATACCGCTCCACCACGCAAGCCGAACAAAAAATTAAACAATGCTCAGTGCGTCGTCCTGCCCACGGTGTCGTGTGGTGCACAATATGTAGTACGGTGTCCGTCACCTGACAACAGTTATGGTATTCGAAAGCTTATCATTAATTAGTGTCGTATAATTAAGACTCAATCGTAAACGTGTAAAACAATATTTATAATTCAATACGATCCGTGATTATATTAACCGCTATTTTAACTGTTTTGTTACTGATACGGCACGTGATTTCCGTGTAACTCATTGTCTCCTCATAAACCGCGCGCGCCTGAAGATTCTACGTTCGAATCGTTTTTTTTTAGATTATTGTTCGATAGTAAGTCTACACTATTTATATTAATCGACGATTCTTGATCCGTTGAATGCCATAATAATCTCAATTATGATTTGTTTTGTAATGAATATTTATTGATTTCGCCATATCGTGTTAATGAAACATCAGCGTTCGGGGAAAATATACTAATATTTCTTGAGTACCTAGATACTCGGTAATGCTGCTGTTTTTTAAATCAATGATATAAAAATCAGTATATTAGTACGATAAAATAGATGTTATGCTTAATAGACACTAGCTAACTATAATATTGATTACTTAAATATTTCACTTTCAGAAACTAGTGATCCCTATTCTACTTTATAAATTTGGATATCATGTGTCTATTTATTTAGTGTTGTACATTTATTGCTGAATTAAGTTTTTTATTTTATTTATTTACTATAAATTTAACTGACTTTAAATGTCCTTTATTATAAAGTATTGATTACAGAAAGTACTTAACAGTCAATTACAATATGATATTAAATAGAATAAATTAATTAATCTAAGTTAATTAAATTAAATTGTCGTTGTAATAATAGAGGTTAGTAAAAATAACTAAAATTTAAAAATTTTATATAATAGTTCATTTTTTAAACAACAGATTGTTACCTATATATACTTATATTAAAAAAACATTAGTTTTGAAAAACTGCTGAGACATATTCAACAAATCATGAATAATATAAATAATATTGACTAAAAGAAAAGCCCTAGGTAGGAATGAATTTGTATCAGTGTTTGTTTTATAAAACGGAATGTTAAATAAATCTAAATTACAGATGTGTTTGAGGAACACAGAAATTAATTTGGGCTTAGATCTCAGAACAAATAACAAAACCATTTCAAATATCAAAAATTAACATTATATCAAATAATTTATGGAATATATTCATAATTTAATAATTTATTTTATTTTATTGATTAATTCTCAAATTATTAACTACCAATTTTCCTTATTTATGATTTAGAATAAATTGAAAATGGCTACATTGGACTTGGATGAAGATTTACTTAAAGATGAAGAATTGGTTAATAGTATTCAGAATTTGGATAAGTCAATCATTGAAATTGAAGCATTACTTGAATCACAAATTGCTATAGATTATACCTCTTTATCAGTTGAAGAAAAAATTAAGCATGATTTGCTAAATGTTTTTGCATTAAATAGTTTATATTGGATGTATTTGCGAATGAATGGCACTGATCCAACTACCCACAATATCAAACGAGAGCTTGATCGAATAAAATCAACTATGGATATAGCTAAAGGTGCTATGTCCAAAAAGAATATGCTAAGAGTAGATAAGGGCGCTGCTGGGAGAGTTATTGAACATGCTCTTTGGACACCAGAGGAAAAAAAACGTAGGTTACAAGTCATGGAAAATTCTAATAAAAAAATTAAATTTAATGAAAATGGTGATCCATTACCATGATCCACTCTTATTATCTTTTATAATGTACTTTATTATGAGTTGTATGTTAACGTTATTAAACTATATTTTTTATTTCTACTTATTTTATCCTTTGGTACTTGTTGGATCCTTACATTAAATTTAACTAAGCAGAAATATACCTAGATACTATTGATCTGGCGATTAAAGTTAAAAATATCATATTGGTTTTTAAGCAAAACCTTTATTTTCATCAGTTATAATGAACACACATTTTTTTTTATATTAATAAACATTGTTTAAAGCAATGGTTCTCAACTTGGGGATTTTACTATCCTAGAGAAGTGTGAGCATTTTTAAAAACCATTAATTTCAAATAATACTTAAACAAACTTAACATCTTTTTTTTCAATCATATCAATTGACCAGCACGGATTCGTTCCAGGTCGATCGACTGTGACCAGCCATGTTGACTTTTTCTCCTTTTTACACAAGACATTTGAACTAAATAATCAAGTTGATGTGATATACACCGATTTTTCTAAAGCATTTGATTCTATTGATCATAGAGCTCTTCATTATGTTTTTGACAGACTAAGTGTTGGCGAGCTTTTACTATCATGGATTAGTTCCTATCTTAGTGAGCAACACCAATTTGTAAGTCTCTTGGGCAAATCATCCGATCTCTTTCGAGCGTCATCCGGAATACCTCAAGGTAGCCATCTAGGACCCTTATTATTCAATATTTGTATTCACACTGTGTGCTCAACTGTCGCCTTCTCCCATTTGCCTATGATTCCAAGATTTTTCATATGATATCATCATACAGTGATCAACTCGTTCTACAAAACACCCTTGATAAATTCGCCGCCTGGTCTAATTTCTTTAATTTGTTGCTAAATATTGCCAAATGTAATGACTTTTCATCGTTCTAGGTCAATAATGCCCTTTGACTACAAACTAAGCGGACTACTGTTCAACGCGTTAACCAAATCCAGGATTTGGGTATTTTGTATGTGCCCTCGCTCGATTTTAGTCAGCACATCGATATTATGGCTGATAAAACTTTTCGAATATTGGGTTTTATAAGACACGCTGTTAATTTTAATTCCCTAAATTGCTTACTGGTTCTCTACAATGCATTGGTTCGTTCGGTTCTTGAGTATGAGTCTGTGATCTGGTCACCATACACCGCCGCTGACATTCGACCTATTGATCGTGTGTAAAACTATTTTATGAACTTTGCTGAGTATTGTCTAAATATCCCACATCCGAAATATGATTACAGGCCTATTATTCAAGCTCTTAATTTAAATTATATTTCAGCTAAGCGCGATAAACTTGGAACTAATTTCATTCGAGGTTTGATTGATTGTCGAGTCGATGATCCGAGGCTTCTCGAACAACTCGATTTTCGTATTCCCAATAATATTAGGCTGCAATGCTCTTTTTACCCCCCAAATAATAAGTCTAACTTCGCCAGAAATGCCTCACTCTCAAAGATTGATGCGTGTAGCAAACTTGCCTTTGTTATTTTAATACGAAGACGCACATTTTTTGCTTGTTGTTTCTTGTTTCTTATTTGTAATTTCGTTATTTTTATTATTAAACCTTAGTTATTTAAGTTAAACCATAATAACAATACTGTATTTATATAATATCTTGTATTCTTTACGTATTATTGTAAAAATCTGATTGGGATTAATTCTAATAAAAAAAAAAAAAAAAAAAACATTACCGATTATTGGTGCTTGGAATATAATGAAGGATAGTCAAAAAGTAGATGGGAGAATCATTTAAGCCAAGTTTGTATGCATGATCTGGAAGAAGCGAGTGGACGATGGTAGGTCTAGATCAGTGGTTTTCAACCATTTTAACAATGCGGCACACTTCATCTCCCACAAAATTTTCGCGGCACACCAATCCAAATATTATGTGAATCATATTTTATGTATATACAAAGCAGTTATATATAGTTCGCGTGCACCATAGCACGAGCCGCCACTGATAATATATATATATATATATATATATTACCGGCAATATACATAATACGAGATTTGTTTAGGTATTATGTATGTATAATGCCAAACGTGGGTGAAATAGGCAATATGATGAAAAAAAACAAAATTAGGCATCGTCTAATACCAACAACTTACCGTTTATCATAAATGTGCGTGCACGAGTATTAATATACATTATACATTTTAAGAATGTTTAAGTATTTGTGATATTTATCTATAAATATGAAGATTATACAAATCATAAAATGTGTACTGACTTTATCATAAATAAAAACCATTTACATTTCTATTCATATCTGGGGTGAATACAGCACTTGGCCATAATTGTAAGTAATTAAGTATCAATTATGTTAGAGTAATAAACACTTTAAATATTTTAACATTGTATAATGATAACCATCAAGCATAGTTAGAATAATAATACAATGATTTTTATTAAATTATGAAATTTGGCTAAACCCCGAACTAAAAAGAAAATATGAAACAATAATTAAACAACTCAATATTGAATACACTCAAATAATGCACAGCTTCTTGATGAGCGTACATTAATCTCCACTATGTTGCATGTTCTATTAAAAATCAACAACATCATCACCGAATGTCAAAAATACCAACACTACTACAACCAACTCCACATTTTTAAACAAATATACCAAATCCCCAAGACACAAGGAACTGAAATAAATTTTTGAAAAAATCTGAATTATATAATTTAATATAAAACCTATGAATTGTTAAAAAGGTAAAATATACTAATGACCTAAATGTCGATGTGTATAAGATCAATAAAAAAAAAATAATACATTGAATAGTTATAAATGCCATATTTTAAAAATTGTTAATAGTTTACTAATTAAGAAAAAATAAACTTAAATAAAATAACTAAAGATAATAAAAGTTTCTATTGATGTTATATTTGTACAGCTGTTTAAACTGTATAAAAAAATAATCTACAATTACACTTTTTTTACAATTGAAATACTTAACTTAAACAACAACATTTTAATTCATTATCTGAAAAACCAATTCTAAATTTGTAAATATTTAAAAATTAACGAACAGGGACCCATTCTTTGAACATTTCACCAACCTTCTTGCGTTCTAAAACAAAAAAATTCAAATTATTATTAACAAAACAAGAAAAATCAAAAAAAATTTATAAATTAAAAACATCTAAAAGTAAAGTTGATTATTAGGTAAACAAATTTATTATCAAACTAGTGAACTACTAAGTGGCGTACTAAATAGAATATAACAAGTATTAAAATTTGATTGAATTAATTGGGCTAGTAGCTAAATGTTGCGATACATTTTTTTTTTTCTAAAACTAAATATCAATTATTTCCTTAATAATGATAAAGATATTAATTAGATTTTATTTAGATGAAATATAAAGTAAAAGCAAACTGTTATTTTATTTTTAAATTACATTTTGATACAGATGTTTAACTTATTTTAAATAATATATAAATAAGAAATCATATTATGTATTTGATAAACAAACCAGGTGGTGGAAAATCTTCAGGGTGTAATTGAACATAATGCCTATACATAGCATCCTTGTCGGCTAGATAAGTATCTCTATATTTGTTTACATAATAAAGTATTCCAGCACCTACAATACCAGCACCCAATTTGACGTGTAATCCTGTAAAAAAAGTTAATTTTTTCAATAGAGTAGTTAGATAAATATAAAGCCCATAACATTAGAACTTTTTTTTTTTTTTTTTTTTTTTTTTTATTTAAACTTTGTAAATACAATTAGTTTCAACAATTACGAATTATAAAATACAATTATTGTTACAAAAGCATTAGAACAGTATAAAATAAAATTAGATTAAAAAGCCTGAATGGTTAAAGAAAGATAGTATACTTAAAATGATGTTTTTTTGTTTATTAGAAAAAATATTTATTGTATCGAAAGGGATGTTGGAGGTGTTCAAAATAGATAGTAGGTGGTCACGATGTGTTGATAGGCTGGGGCAGATGTAGAGTAGATGGTTAATATCACAGACCATAGGGTCATGGTGTAGTGTGCAGTAAGGGGAATCGTTCAGTGACAGTTTAAAGGAGTGAGAAGGAAGTCGAGTATGTCCAAACCGGAGGCGGGAGAACGATGTTATGCATTTTCGATGAATATCAAGGTTGTGGAACCAACATTAGAACTTACCAGCATATATTGGTTTTCTAGCCATTACATCTTGATACCATACTGCACCACTACCTACAAAAAACCCCAAGAAAGGTAACCATTTGTCATTCAACCATGTCGAATGGTATTTTTCGTAATCTGGACCATTTGTCAAAAGGTTTAATGGAGTGGGATCTACCGTAGTTGCAACTTCATATTCCACGATGGGTTTCATAATTGACTAATTGAAAGAAAATAATAATTCCAAAACGCACCAACTTAAAAGATCTTAAGGATAAAATAAAATGTTATTTGACCCTTTATCAAAACTTTATCAATTATTTCATAATCCCTGTCCGATCGACAGATCAGTGTCACCAACTAACGAATAACACGATTTTATATTCGATTCTACCGTGGGAAAAATTAGATTAAAGTTTTTGCTACCACCTTATTTTATGTTTTTGACTGTTAATTTATAATATTTAAACTAAAAACCCTTTGTCCCAAATTAATATTTATGTTGTCAAGACAATTTACTCAAGGTGACAGGATATTAAAAAAGAACGACTTATTTCTAAACACTCTGCTTCTTCGCTCTTAGCACGGTAGTAAATATTATATTATCTCAACATATCATCTAATCGGCTAAGTTCATTATTGTGTTATCATTATTGTATTATCATTATTGTTATCATGATATGAATAAATTACTTTTGAAATAAAATTACTTTAGATCACACGGACGATTTATTATAGTACGTCTTCTCCACAATCATATATTGATGCGCATATGGAGCGGCGTAATAACAATGCAACTTTTAAGTTGCTCTAGCGGCCGACAGAAGAGCGATAAAACTGTCTCCGTCTGGTTTCCATTCCCATAGTTTAGTGTCTACGTTAAGCCGGGTTTACACGACGCGAATCAAGATTCGACATGATTCGCCCTGTCTGAACTTGCCTCGGGTAATAAGCGAGTCAAGCGAGGATGCCTGGTGGCGAACAGAAGCTTAGTCGGTATTTGGACGCGCAACAAAGAAGATTCGCATATTTGTTTCTTTGTTGTTTTGTTGTTTGGTTCAACATCACCGACAACAAAATAGCCATTCCAAGTGGACCCAAATTCTTGGGATAACCTAACAAGGGAACAATACAGAGTTTTAAGGCAAATTATATACTTGAAAGTTTGTGTGCTTTTTTTCTGTTTCTATTTCTGACAAAGCCGTGTATTTTAGAAGCTTTGTTTATGATCAAGTTATGGTTCAGCTTGAAAGATACGTCAGATTCAAAGTGAATACCCAAATCCATAATTACTTCAATCCTAGTTAAATTAGTATCGTTCAAATAAAGTGGATAATTTTGTTGGAAACGAGTGTGTCCGGAACGGTGGTGGAGGCCGCGCAGTGTTTTTCTTACTCAAATATTCGGCGATAACATATTTCAGCGGAGACGCGGTTCTGTAACTACCCCGCGAAACTCAGCAAAGTCGAAATCTGTATCGCGACCGTCATATTTTGCTAGATTTAATCGTCCAACGAACGAGTCGAATCGGCGATCACAGCGGAAGCTGCAGTCGATACGATTCGTAACGTAGGAAAAAATCGTTTATTGAGATTGACTCGTCACCCAGTGCTGGCCGAAAAACGTTCGAAACAAATACGACGCACTGCAACGGGGTACCATGGGATACGGATGTTTCTGGTCGAAACGACATGTTTGGATAACGCATTTGTTGACTTGTCAGCGAGCTATGCAGCACAATTCTCGAGAATAAAAATAACAACACAAACGGAAAAGCCCATTCAATTCGGTGCCCGCTATTGTTGCAAACCTCTCAAAAACCTAGGGCTATTCGATTATTACGATTATTTTTTTTCCCGTCGATTATTTTACAGTTTTTATAAAATTCGATTAATCGCCAAATAATCGAATTTCTGATTTATCGATATATTATCATAGGCGTGCATAGGAAGGTGCTCGGGGGTACTTAGCACCCCCAGATTTAAAATTAGCATCCTCAGTTTCCTAGAATATTTATTTCAGTATTTCAACAATAATTTGTACATTTTTTTTTCCACTATAAATTGACAATAATATATAACATAGTTGACGAATTCATGATTAAAACAGTATTGTATAATTGCACGTTTTACTGTTTCAGTTTTTGTCTAACTATTAAATTATAAACAGCAATCATAATATTATAGAAAATCATATCATCTTATCTTACTTTATATTCTTATATTATCTACGCTTAGCATTGAGAGAGATCTTTCCAATAAAATAGATAGGGGAATTATACTGGAAAAATTTGCATCATCAAACAGGAAATTAAATCTTGTTTCGTATATTATTAATAATTACATATTATTATAACTTATAATATAATTACTTTTAAATATTTATTAATAAAAATTAAAAACTATGGAAACGCAGTTGATTATAATATTAGAGGGATGTGGGGGGAAAAGCCCCCTAAGGATATGTATACTATAAATTATTCAAGCACCCCCTGCATTCACACATAACGTGCGCCTATGTATATTATATATATATACATATATATATATATATATATATACTTAAATTTTAAATCTGTGCTAAATGCTAATATGATGTTCTGAATTAAATAATTAGGAATATATTAAGGATAATATTATAAAAGTGGACATTTGCATCAACATATCATCCTGCAAATCTTGTTGAAAATTATGTAAAAGTTAAGGAATCAATTTATCCATTGAAAAAAAGTCGATTAATCGGTTAATCAAATATTAGTTAGAATACGGTTATTGATAAATCAGTCGTTAAAAAATGGATTTTCGGTTTGAATATTAATTTTTGATTAATCGAAATAACCGATTAGCATGTGAAATTAATAATCGAGTGGTTAAAAAAAATAATCGAACAATCCTACGAAAACCGTTGGGGACGCAATTTTGACTTCACGTCGCGTAAGTACAGCTGTGTCGCACGCCAACGCCGTCCCACGACCAGGGACGGATTTTCAAGTAACTCCGATGAGCTAACTGTCCAAGAGTTTAAACCAAGATCTAAAAGGAGAAAAAAATTTTCAAGAGGCCAATTCTGTCAACACATATTAACTGTGGGTCAGCTGACCCCTAACTCCCCCCCTAGATCCACCCATGCCCCCGACCCGAGGGCGTGGTTAGGCAGTCGATTTTGGGTGTCGCGCGAACGACGAAGAGATCGTCTAACAAGATTGTATGATATGGCTAGATTGGTTCCGAAAAAATAAAATTGAAGATACACATATATAAAAATTTTATAAAAATTATTAGAGATTTTTTTCATAAACGGCACTGAACGCAGTGGCGTAGCCAAGGGGGCTATAGCCCCCCCCCCAAGGGCCGTGTTTATATGTATAATGTATCTTGACTAATAATAATTTAATAAAATCAATGGATGCTCGTTTTAATCAAAGGCTTATTGATGTTATGCCACTTGAAGGACTTATTCCGGCCAATTTAAATATGTATGACGATAAAAATATTATAAAAGCTGCTAAAATATATGTCCAGGATCTCCATGATGATGCCTCATCTACAATCAGAGCTGACCTGTTCATATGGAGGCAACAATGGAGTCATAATACTATTCCAAAACTGAATTCTGCTCTTGATTCACTCTCTCGTCGCATCAATCTTCGACCTAACATTAAAATACTTTTACAATTATTCGCCACGTTACCAGTTATCTCTTTCACTACGGAAAGAACGTTTTCAGCACTTAATCGCTTAAACATTTTTTTAAGAAGCACCATGTCGGAAAAAAGACTGAATTGGTTAGCTATGGCTAATATAAATAAAAAAGAGCAATTCGATGAAAGTGAAATAATAACTGAATTTGCCAGAAATTCGCCTAAGGTTAGGTGGCAACCCTGGTCATATGGCCCATAACTTAGAGTCAGAGATTTTAAAAATTCAGATTTTTTGAAAATTTTTAAATGTTTAAAATCTCTGCATAGAGTAATATATTATTTTATGGCCAATAACTATTTATATATACATATATATATTATAACTTATTTATTTGTGTATAAATTAATTTATTTATATTTGTGATATGATCAATGGTTACTGGTTATACGTTGTTCTGTTATAAGGTTTATAGATAAACCATGGTTCTGCTGATCATTTAACCAAAGGTGGTGATTTTCGATAGGCGGATCCCAAATTTACTGTGGCGTGTTTTGACCACATAGTTTTATTAATAGATCAATGTGATATGGATATAATTATGAAATGTACTAATATAGATGGATATTTACTCATAATATAAAAGAACATTATCAGAATATTTGATTTTAAATGAATAACGTAAAATAAGTTTTAAAATGTTTTACGACTATTGTTGGTTTATATTGATATCTTTTTGGTAATAATATTCAAATACGGAGAACCCCTGGAATTTCGTTACCGCGCCGCAGCCGACGCTGTCAATTTATCTAGAAACGACTGTACCGTGTTTTTATTTTGGTTATGATAGGTTACGGTTGTTTCATTTGATATCCTGAGCCCGGTCTTTTATAACATGTTATCAGTTACAATTGTTCGTTTGTCCATGAATCGTTTTTATTCATAACGATGAAGTTGCAGTCATGTTTAATATTTATTGTTACGTCTTCACTGCATAAGTAATAGTTTATTTTATCCTACCTATAGTCTTATTTGTTGACTGTGAGCAGTAATCTTGTAAAGGTAGACAGTGAACTGTGAACATAGCACTCAATTGCAGTCTTAAACGTTGTTCCAACACACTGTTACATACCTTAAGGGCCTTAAGGACGACGTAAGTATGTGCATTACCTAGAATTTACGTAATTATTACGACCCCGTGCCCGCCATACTTCCCCGCCCAAAAATTCCCAAGGTATTCATATTATATTCATTTTATATATATTATAAAATTATTATATATTATATTATATTATTGTATATTCATATCCGCAAAAAATTTGAAAAATGATTAATGCTCAGCATTTCAAACTCTACAATTTGAGTGTATAAAATATAATAAAAAATAATATAATATCATAAAATTATATTATTAATATATTCAAATTTCTTAGTTAATTTAATAGCAAATGATATTAATTATGATTGGGAATGTATCAGTTCATTAAATATAATGAAAATGACTGAACATGCGAAACCCGAACATAAGAAAAAAAAGGTGTATTGCAAGGAAGTAAGTTTTTTTACATATGTAGCATAACACATTTTTTTTTGTAACTGTTTATGATTCACTTATCATTTGGGTATATTTTTTCTCCCATACTGAACATTTTGAATTTAAACAATTCATGGTTCTCATTTTTAAGAATTTTTAAATTCATTACTGACCAAAATAATTTACTTATTTGAAAAAAATTGTCATTAGCTATATTTATTAGATAAATCATTATTTAATATTGAACTGAGAATTTATATGATTTCTTGGTATTGTACTGTTTCTTCTCCTTATTCCTAAGGACCGGATTTATATGCAAATGCTTATATGTATTGGAATAAGCTTTTTGAAATTTAATGAGCATTGTCCTTGATTTAGATCTTTCTTATTAAAATAACACAATTTAATTTTGCATATTTCAACGTTTTTAACTATTAAATGTATATTTGTAGTTTTATAGAGCATATTATTATTAATAGCACATATTCGTTTTCGTCGTATTTCTCGTTCACAGCCACATAATATTGATAAAATTGCGATCGGTTGTTATTTCCAAAGATAATAATATAGAATTTAAGTGTTGACTTGAAGACATAATATTTTAAAAGCTTTTTATACTTTTTTTAATACCATATTAATTAATATATATTTTTACATTTATAATACATTTCACATATTTGTACATAATTTTAAACAACATTTTAAGTGAATATTTAAGTACATATTTAAAAATAAATACATATTTTATATCATATTACAGCATTTTTAAAAGCATATTTTGAGGATTTTTTGCGCGTATAAATCCGCTATTTATTACTAATGAATGTTTTTTTTCAAAATGTTTAACCAAAAGTTTTCTTAGAAACGTAAGCCATTAAATTGAGATGACGAATACCTAGTCCTCTTGAAATGCATACATTTTTTATAAAAGTCTTCTCATGGAAATACTTGGAAACAACTCTCAGCATTGTATTAAGATCACTGTTGCACTATGGTTTCAGTGTTGAAGCATTAACTCTTTTAATATGGTCGGTTTTTCAAGGTTATAGATAGTGGTATCAAACCATCCATTTATCAAAGAAAATGCTAGACATTTACAGGATTTGCCTTTAAATCCATTTTCCAGTCAATGTATAAAATGCTGGCATTACTTGAGTGGTAAGAACATTTCATGATCAACAGGAATTTTGAAATCTGATTTAAATGTCCCTAAATGGCTGGTCAAATGTTAGTGTCATTATCCTGACATCAAAGGTCTTTTATTCTTATGACCTATTGATTGAGCTTTTTACATTTTATTCTAGTCTAATGGCTGTATTGCCTCCGGAATTCATTGGTGAGAAACACCACTTGTAAATAGTAAAAGTCATTGACAATAGTGTTATATGCTGTATAAATCATTAGCAATAGAAGAAAATAGGCCTGTTTGTGGTATAATCAGTTTGGAATTTGGTGTGGATCTGTCATATATTAACCCCGGTAGGAATGCCCTGTTTGCTAGGTATTTTTCTTGAACTTCTACTCTTGAATAGCTCTTGGATCTAATAAATAATCTATGGTTATAAATGTACACTTTCATGAAACTTTAAGGCATGACATATTCTCTGTCTATATTTTATTCCTTTCTTATTTGAATTCCTATGAACTATACCAGTTCCAGGTTGATAAAATAATATATACATATGTTGATGTTTAGAAAATGTCTACACTGGAAGAAATATCAATTCAAGGTATAAGAAGTTATCATCCACATGAAAAACAGAGTTTAAAATTTCAAAAACCACTAACATTAATTTTGGGCCAAAATGGTTGTGGAAAAACCACCATAATTGAGTGCCTTAAGTATGTAACATGTTCAGACCAACCAAAAAATACAAAATCTGGTGGTTTTGTATGGGATCCTAAGCTATCAGATTATAATACTGTAATATTTTTATATTTTTATTTATATTAAAGTGTATCTAATTAATGGACATTTTTTGTTTGTCTTAGGTTAAAGGCAATGTAAAACTATTATTTCGTGACATTAAGGATATTTCTGTTGTAGTCTCAAAGACTTTAGAATCGACTCAAAAATTAAAAACTGTCACTACCAAATCTCTAGATCAAACTATTTCTAGAAAAGTAAATTAATTTTAAACAATATCATTAACATTATTTTTAGTTGTCAAAGTTGTGGGTATAGTCTTATTTATAAATTGTAAAACACTTATAGGTTTATTTTATTTCACCTGAAACTAATTTTTGTTGGGTATTTTTATAAAATTAATTTGAAAATATTGTAAAATGATACCTATTGGCTATTTATAACATCATAACTTGACCAGTTGTTATTTATTCAGATTAATTGTATGGTTAATTAAATATAACTATTTTATAGGGCCAAAGTACTTCACACAAATGTACAAATATAGATGAAGTGATGTGTGATCTTTTAGGAGTTTCAAAATCGATTTTAAAAGATGTTGTTTTTTGTCACCAAGAAGACTCTAATTGGTATATTTTTAAGTGCTTAAATTGTGAATAAACAATTAACTTTTCAATTTTCAATAGGCCTTTAGATGAAGACAAAAAAGTTAAAGAAAAATTTGATTCAATATTTGACGTTGGGAAATATGACAAATGTATTAAACAAGTTCGTGATAAAATAAAGTTAATTGGTCAAGGTAAGAAGAACCAACTATTATTAACTGTCATTTATATAATTAACACTTGGTTTATAATTTTAATGGAATATATTGTTATTTCAACTGTTAAATTAATTAATTAAATTGTAATTACTTAGAATAAAAATAATATTATAATATATATAAAAACTAAATAGGTATTTTTAATTATAATCATAATCACAAATTTTTGTTTATTTTTTGTATTTATAAAAAATAATTATACATTTTCAGAAAAAAAGATAGCTGATATAGAATTAGAACATTTAAAAAATTATCGAGAAGAAGCTCGTACCAAAAGATCTATGCTAGATAATAAAAATTGTCTGTTAGAAGAATTAGAAAAAAAGATGAACATCATCGATAATGATTTGAAGCCCGTAGAAGACCGATTTATTGAAATATTGCACATTGAAGATAACTTATCTGTTTTAAAAAATTCATTATTAACTTCACAGGGACGGTTGAAATCTCTTAAATTAGCTCAAAAAGAATTAAAATCAGTAATCAAAGTAAAGTTTGAAGGAAATGATTTTGAAATTGATGATGCAATAATGAATTTCAAAAATAACTTGATGTAAGCTTACTTAAAATACTTTTTTAATTTTTGTGTTTGGATGATTTTAAGGAAACATACTACTATCTTTTTTTTTATTTTTGACTTATAAATAATCTGATCAAAAAAATATATTTCTATTGTAAATATTAAATTAATATACTACTAATATATATTATAAGTCAAACTATCACAAAAAAAATATTAAATTTAGAGCTATGAATAAAAGTTGTTTATCCAATAGCCTAAGCTGTTATAAATAATAGTTATGTAAAAATAGTTGTTGGTTTTCAGTGTTAATATATATTGAAAAAATTTGACATACTTTTATTTTTATACGAGTAGATTTTTATTATTTCAAACAATTAGTATCCTTTATTGGAAAAGTAGCTAAAATATTTATTACTCAACTGTTTTTGGATGTTCAATAAATTAGTTATAGTTACACTTATCCTTTAAACTAAAAGTTGTAATATATTATATGGTGTACAAGTTATATTTTATTATAGAAGTTTAAACATTGTTTTTATTGCTAATAATCTGCAGAAGATAAGACCATTGGATGTTATTTATTTTTTTGTGTTGCATGTTGACTATTGCGGCTTTGGTAGTTGTTTCCTTGAGCTTTCATCTTGTCCACAAACAAACTGTGCATTTAAACCCAGCTGCCTCATCCTGCTTGGTCACAATTTCTCTTGGTTAAAAATTGTATGAAATAATAAATGTTAAAAAAGAAAATTATATTTTTCTTTTTCTCAGTTACAACTTTTTGAGTCTTCTATTTTGGAAATATTTCAATACTTCTATTTGATCAATGAATATTCTAATTTTTGTAATTTTAATTTTTTTTTACAGAAGAAAAAATGAAGAAAAGAAAACATTGATTGATAAAAAAAACAACTCTATTAGCGATGAAAATAGAATTCAAGAAAAGATAAATAAAGAACAAATAAATTTAGGGAGTTATCAAAATGAGGAAAAACAATATCAAAATAATATGCAAAAACAAAGTACAAAAATAACTGAAATAGCACGTGAAATGGAAACTATTTGTAAATATTAATTTATATTTAATATTATTAACAGCAGCATTAATTTTTGAATTTAATTTATTATTAATTTAGTACCAGCTTTAACAAAATTTAATCGAATAGAAGTAATAAGAATTCTGTCAAATGAATTGAAATCTATGAATGATAAATTAGAATGTATCCAAAAAGAAAATTATAATACTGAAATTAAATTGCAATCAAATATTGATTATTTGAGAGTAGAAAAGGCTAAACTAGATCAAGAGATTAAAATCAAAGAAAAACATTTTTTGGAAAATTCTTCTGAAATTAAAAATCTGTCGAAAGATGTTGAACAAGTAATTTAAATTATTTAAAAAAATATTGTTTTTCAATAACTTATCAATTTTTTAAGGTTAAATATTTAGCAAGTAAGTTAACAATACTTGAGAAATCAAAAGTTGATAATGAAACAAAACTAAGAACATTAAATGCATCATTTGATATTGATGAAATTAAAAGTGAAATAAATATGAAAAAAGAAGAAAAAAATAAGTAAACATTTATATGAATTTTATAAAAAAAATTTAATAATATTAATTATTATTTTAATTTTAATAATTATAAAGTTAATTTATTTTACATTGATGTTTATAGATTAAATTTAAAATTAGAAGTTGTAGAAAAAGAAGTACAACAATTACAATTATTTAGTAGTGTACAAGCAGAACTTGATTCTGTACTATTAAATAAATCGGGAATAGTAAACAAACTTAAAAAATTGTAAGTGGAATTATTTATAATTTGAAAATATTTAAATATATTATATTTTATGTTTAATGTATATATATATATATATATTACATTCACCTTTTATGTCTAATAATTATTTAGACAAAACAAAGTCAATGATGTGTTAAACGATCTACTTGGGTATATACCTGAAGAAAAATTACCTAAACTAAAATTTGTGTTTACAAAATTTTTAAATAATTTGGTATGCATTTGATTTTTATTACTAAATATTCAGTAAAATTAAGTTATAAATATATTTTAGACTGATTCAGTCAAAGTCAAACGAAAAATGGTATCAGAAATGCAAAGAGAATATACAACCCTTGAAGCAAACTATAATCATACTCAAGAAACATTACGTAGAAAACAAAGAGATCTTTCTGATGATGAACTTGCTATGAGTGATATGTGTCTAGGACAGGAATATGATGTATTAGTAAAAGAAGTTAATGAAAAAGTGGAAGAATTACAAGTTAGTAAAAATTATTCATTATTATCTTCATTATTGAAAAATAGTTGTGTTTTTTTTTTTTTTAAACCTACTATAAAATGTTGAATATGTTGTTATAAATTGATATTTATATATGGACAATGATTATTTTTTTTTATCATAGAATCAAAAGGGCTCAGTCTCAACTTCTGGTCATCTTTTTCGGCGATATATAAAAAGTCTAGAAGCTAAGGATCCTTGTTGTCCACTTTGTCATCGTGGCTTTGATTCTATGGATGAAGTGACTGAACTCATAAATGATGTAAAACTAATAATTATAGCTTAATTAAATTTTTTTTGTATACATTTATAGTATAATTATTATTATAGTTAAATGTGAGAGTTGATAAAATTCCTAATGAATTAGAAACAACAACAACACAATTAGAAACACTTCTCGAAAAACAATCTAAGCTTCAACAATTAAAACCTACCTATACTAGAATAGCAGTTTTGAATAACACTGAAATACCTAAACTCAAGTAAAACTTTTTATATTATTGTACTCAATTTATTTTTAATATCTAAAATAATTTTTTTTTATTAGAGATGAAATAGAAATGTTTAAAAATAAGTCAAATAAATGTCGCAAGGAATTGTCCACATTATCTGATACTCTTGAAAAATTAGAAAATACAGAAGCAACTGCTAAAAGCATTTTATCTGACGTAATAATGATTGATAGTTATTATAATGATATTCAAAGATATATAAATGAAGAACAACGTTTAATATCAAAAATAAATGAAACAGGCTCTACTAGAAGTATTCAAGAAGCACTATCTGAGCAGAGCACTTTAAAAAAAATTATAAATAATATCTACAACACTTTAGAAAAAAAACAACATGAATTGAGTGAATATAATGAAACATTACATGCCTTGCAAATTGCACAAAATCAAATTGTAAGTGATGAGTTAAATATAAAAAGGAAACTACAAGATGAAAAAGTTATGATGAATAAATTGAATGATTTACAAAATCTTGAAGCAACATTAAGTATAGAATTAGAAAGTAGTAGAAAATCCATAATACCTATTGAAAACCAATTAGAAACTTGTATAAAAAACTTTGATCAAATTAAAAAACAGCATGAGCAAAATATTGAAAATAAGAGAAAAGAAGTAATACTAGAATCAATTTTAAAAAAATTTATATTCAGTAAAATAATTCACTTTTAATTTCAGATTATGTTTCTAGAAAAAAAATTTCAAGAAATAAATAACTTGGAGACATTAATTAATGATTATGAAAAAAAAGAGTGGTCATTACGAATAAAAGAAGTAAATAATTTGATAGACAATTTAATAGGAGAAAAAGTACTATGTGTTGAAAACCAAATGAACATTCAAAAACAAATTGATTCCATTAATGAATATAATGCTAATCAAGAGGTAATCAATATGCATGTATATAAATCATATTTATTAAAATAGTTTTAAAACCTGTTATGTAAAATTGTAGATAGTTTAACTGATTTCACTAAATAATTTAATCATTGACTTTATATTATAAATCTAATTTATAGGGCTCAGATTTTAAAGCATAATAAACAACAAAAAAAAAGCACAAAATTGTTTTAAGAAATCAAAGAAAAAGCATATTAATTTTTAAAAAAAGATAATAAAAAAAAAAAAAAGTGTGACTAAAAATTAACAGAAACTAGTTATAAAATTGAAAAATTAATATAAATTAAAAAATAATTTACTACCATGTATTTTGCTAGATTTATAGTAATGAAATTATTAGGTCCATAAACTTTTGTTGATAACATTACGTTATATTTAATAATGATGTGAATAAATGAAAACAATAATGATCTAATATAACCATTTAATCTGTGTTCCGGGTTTTTACATTTCTTATTATAGCATATTATACATATAAATATGCCAAAGCTGGAATAATTAAAAAATAAAAAAAAGCAAAAATAAATTAGTTCATTTGATATTAGAATGACATAAAACAAGTTTATATATAAAAATTATATTTCTAAATCATATATAAAAAAAAGCATATATATATTTACATATTTGTATTTAAAAATCTAAGCCTTACTAATGACTAAGTAATAAATAATACCAAATTAAGATAGTATGAATTAAGAACACTAGTATAAACAATGTAATAGTAAACTTATGGATTTATTTTCAATAACTATTTTTATATTTTGATTATGTTATATTAGCTTCTTATAGTTTTTATTAGTTATTTCCTATTAGAGATTATTAATATTAGTTATTCTTATATAAAATGTATACTTTAGACCATATTTGCTTTCATTTATTAGTTGTATATTACTATTTTATTTAATACTTAAATTTTTTTATAACTATTCAAATTTTTCTTTTAATTGACATTAAAATTGTAAACTGTATTAAAATTTATTACCTACCTAAATACCAAAGGTGGGCAATTTAATGAAAATAATTAACTCGAGTTAAGTTAAGTTAAGAGAACACAATATCATTAAGTTAAAAGTTAACAGTTAACAATTCATAAATTTCACTCGATAAGTTATAAGTTAATAAGAAAAGAAAAAATTAACTTAACTCAGTTTAAAAAAAGTTAATCTATTTTTTTTAATTAGTAAGTAGATCACATATAAAATGACTTCGTTCTTTAGAAAGATTTATTTCCTAAATTATAATAAACAATTCTATTTAATTTTTTATCATAATATACAGCAGTGGCGCTGAAGTGTTTGAAAAATACTATGACATTGTACATCAAGGGGTCACTCACTACTATATTTATTTATCTTTATAGTTAAAATTCTTTATACATAACATTCTGTATCCAGAACTCAATACCCAAAGGTGATCCCCGAATCTACAAAATCATATATGACATCTGATTTACAGTATATGCGACTATTTTACTTTACATGATTATTTAATTTTTATATTAATATTTATGTATAAATGAAAAAATTTAAAAAAATTCTAACTTGATCCTTTTTAAATCAACTGTAAAAAGCTAAGTTATTTCAACTGCCAATTAATCTAGTTAAGTTAAAAAGTTCATTAGAAAATTAACCAACTAGTTAAGTTAAAAAGTAAAAAAAAAAATTAACTTTTTAACTTAACTTTAGCTTTTTAACAAGTTAATGCCCACCTTTGCTAAATACCAACTAATTAATTAATATATATAATTTAAATAAATGAATGAAAATATTAAATTTTTGCAAATAATTAAAACTAAATACCATATATATAATATATACCATATATATATAAAAGAGTTTTTTTATTTTATAATGTGTAGATACAAAAAATAGATTTGGAAAATAATAAAAAATTAAGACAAAAAATAAACGAAGAAAATGAATGTTTATCTGAAATACATAAATTAAAAAAAAAAGTTGGAAATTTGGATGTGGATGATTTGATGTATGAAAAAAAAAGTAACAGAGAAAAATCAGAAACCTTGCATAAAGAAGTAACATTTTTATAGTTATATTTACTGTGAAATCTAGATTATAATATTATATATATTTTTCAGAGAAACCAAATTTCTGGTAGAGTAGATGAATTATATAATGTTATTTCGAGTATTAGGCTAGATTTATCAGCTATTCCTTATTTAAATGCTGAACATAAATACTTGCATAAAAAAGTAAATCTAGAGATTTTAAAACGTGTTGAAAGTGATTTATCAAAGTACGCTAAAGCTCTTGAATGGGCATTAAATCGGTTTCATACAGATCACATGCAAAGTATAAATACTATCATTAAAAATTTATGGAGAGATATTTACACCGGCAATGATATAGACTATATTCAAATAAAAACATCTGATGATAACAAACCCATATCAACTGATTCAAGTATAATTATAAATAAACTGATATATCGAATATTTCTTTAGAAACTTACTATCATTTTTTCTAGGTAAAAAAAGAGTCTTCAATTATAAAGTTGTGCAGATAAAAAATGATATTGAATTGGATATGCGAGGAAGATGCAGCGCTGGTCAAAAAGTAATAGTTAATAATTTTATTACTTCCATGTAATTATGGTTTTATTTTTGAAATTTTTAGGTTTTAGCTTGCTTAATTGTAAGAATGGCATTAGCAGAAACATTTAGTAAAAATTGTGGTATACTAGCATTAGATGAGCCTACAACAAATTTAGATGAATCCAATATACAAAGCTTAGCTGAAGCTTTATCGGGGTATGTTAGATATACTTTAAACATATTTATTTATTTATTTAAATATCTTATTTATTATTTGTTAAAGAATCGTACAGCGTCGCAGCTTACAAAAATCTTTCCAATTAATTATTATTACTCATGATCCAAGTTTTTTGAATAAATTGTCTGCAAGAGACTTGGTGGATACGTATTATGAAGTAAAAAGAAATAATGAGTAAGTTATCATTAATTATTTTCATAAACAATTCTGTATATTTTAGTCCAATGTATTAAAGTTGAAATTAACTTGTTTTTAGTGGTATTTCAATAGTGGAAGAAATGGATATCAAACTTTTGCCTTAAGAAAACTTTAATATTTAGTTATAACTATATTTAATAAATAATATACAGTACTTATCCTTTTATATTGTACTTTGCTATTAAAAAAAAAAAAAAAAACATTTTTTTATTTCTATTAGCCATATTCAAATAATTAAGTATATAATCTATAATATATATATATATACTGTAAGAATTCATAATACATTTCAAGTTAAAAAATGAAATTAAATATTTTGTTTGCGTTTATAATAAAGTTATTTATTTTTATTAAAGCTAAATTAGGAAGTCTCAAGTAATGGATAACAACTATTAGTTATTAATATCATATTGTAATTTATTCTTTGATTAATGTAATTAAATGGCATTTAATATTTTAAATAAAATTACTTAGCATTAATGTTAAGCAACTTTTTTGTTGAAAACCTAACCTAACCTTTTTTGGTTTGCTTAAAATTATATATTATTTTATAATGTCTTATATAGTGCTTTCCTAGCAAAAATTGTTTCGTAGCATCAAAATCATTCAATTGAGACTGAATCATAATATTTAAAAGAAAAAAAAATTCAAATGTTGGGGTTGAATATTCTATTTTAGTTTTTTAATATTCAACTCTAATGAAAGTGCTAAGATTGTTATAAAATAGCATAACTGCATACCCTTGATTCTTTCTGTAACTAATGCTGATCATATGGTAATTTTTAAAGTTGAAGTAGAAAAAACATCAAGAACTATACATAGTTTAGTAGTTAATATATTAATTAGACTTATTATGAAAATAAGGTGGGTGGAAAATTGAAACTGGCTCAGTTTATTCTATGATGATTTTGAATATTTTGAATATGCTCTGTGTTTGAAGAACTGGAAGAAACAACCTGTAAAGTTAATGGAGTGCAACCACACATTCTTCTTTTATCAATTGTACACCTCAATTTATTGTTGCATTATTAGTACTAAAACCGATTTTTAGCATTACTAAAAACCTCAGCTTATCATTGCAAAAAGTAGATTGCGATTTAAGCAGTTGCGTTCAGTATTCAAATAATTTGTATGAAGAAATCAATCATATGAGAGAAAATGCAGAAAGTAATTATAAAAATGTTTAAACAAGCAACGGAAACGGCAGAAAAAAACGGTAGGTATCCAAATGATAATTTCTCGACGTGTTAAAAATCAAATATATCGTAACAATTATGCAGGCAACCCGGAAGCATATCATTGTAAATCGATATTTATTCAATTTTTAGATCATTATCTGAATCAATTGAGCTCAAGATTTGACCATAATACACTACTTTTAAAAATACAAATATTTTGCCGTCGAAATGCATAACATTGGATACAAATGGAATAAAAGAGACAGCACACACTTTAATAACAGAATGGCCAAATAAGATACTTGGAACATCAGAGGACTTAATAGCCGAAATAGTTATATGGCGATGGTAAGTTCTAACTTAATTATTCGAGTATTTGCTTGGTAATTTATCTCACTCATTCCATATTTATATTTGTTACAGGCATTATTTGGGCATGCCAAATGAAAATCGACCAGTACCTAAGTTTTATCGAAGTTCTAAACAAATAACGATTCAACACTGTATGAATCAGTTTATTGATTTTTGCGTATTGGTGCTACGCTCCCAGTATCCTTAGCTACAAGTGAACGCTTGTTTTCTTCCCTCCATAGATTGAAAACGTATTTACGTAACAAAACAGGAAAGAAAGATTAAATGGATTAACATTTTTAAATGTACATAGAGACATAGAAGTTAATTGTAAAGATAAACTTCACAAAAATAAGATTTAATTTTGAAATTTGTTTGTATATATTTAAAAAAAAGTATTGTAAGTACTAATTATAACTTATTTTCATAAAAAAATTTGTATGTTTATTAAAAAAAAGTTCTACTTTTCAAAAATACCCCCAAAAACTTTTCTGCATATGTCCTTACTAGATAAGTCTGTAATTGGTGTACTGAACTGGAGTCTTATAAATGCTATTTGATTGTGTCATCGTCAGTTAATAGTTTTTTTCGCCAATTGGTTGACCTTGTCCTTGATCAAAACATTCAAATGGCGATGGCGTTGTTTTGTAATCTGTAGCTTTTCCATACTATTGTTTTTCTGATCCGCATGTGACTTCCTTTCCGTTACTATTATTTGATTATTTCACAATTAGTTAAATTTTTTATTTAATTCAGTTACTTTGTAGTGTAAATTTCAATATAATATGAAATAAATAGGAATATCTAAATGGCGAAAAAATCCAAAATTACATGTATAATTTTAGGATTTGCAGAATAAAATATAGTAGAATTAGACAAACATACTTAAAGTTCATTTTTGTTATTATTATAAAGATTTAATTTTATACTTTCCAAAATTATTTTACTACACTTAATATTTATATTACATTTTGAATTGAATTATACAATTTTTTTAAATAAATAACTTAAGATAATTTCTAAATAATTTCTTTCTTTCTGTTAACAGAAATTTTCTGCAAGAACCTAAGAGAAACAATTTATTAATACAAAATATAAAATAATATATATGTTTTTAATTATATACTAATAATATATTACCATAGGTAGTGTAATAAAATTAAATATTAGTTTAATAAATGTAAAATAGTGAAAATTAAACTAATGGTCCTATTTGTTGAAGCTATTTTCAATAATAATTTAAATTATAATAAATAAAATAGAAACAGTATAAACAAATTAATTTGTTTCAATTCTAAGCATCTAAAAATATTTATATCTGTTTCACTTAATTGTATAAAATAGAAATTTGATAACTTATTGTTATGTTTAAACTAAATTGACACACTAAAAAATTCTAATGCCCAGGAAATTAATGAAACATTTATGAATATCATAAACATATTTCATCATACATTTAATTAAATAATAAAAATTACGTTAGTATAAAAAACAGTTATGAATCAAATTTATGAATTACTTTTTTAATCCATCAGAATCCAACATTTTTAGAAATAGACCCAAGCTTAACTGGTGAATTTGATTTAGACCAACTATCATCTTTTGGAATATTCACAGATTTAAATGATCTCTGAAATAACTGATATTTAAATAATAATTATTAGTAATAAATTATACTATTTTTACTTTGTGCTTAAAATCATCAGGTATTTTAAACATTTTCTTAATAACAGTAGTTGATCCAGTATTTAATTCAGGTTTTACTTTATTACTTTTAATGCATTTATAGTTTTTTTTTTTCGATTCTGAAGTTAAATTTAAATTAATATTTAATACACCATTGTCTTCTACACTTCTTTGAATAGATATTATATTTTCCTAAAATAGATAAAACAATTTTAAATTACTAATTGTGCATTAACTTTTGAAATCTGATAGAAGCAAATTAACTTTTTTTTTAAATGTAAATTAACATGTAGTGTAACATACACATATAATCAGAAATGGTATAAAAATCCGGTTAGGATAAATTTAATTGATTCATAACAAATTAAGATTAAAACATTTGTTAAATATAACTTACTTGATAAGGAGAGATTTCTTGAATTGTTTTACGTTTTTTAATGATAGAGTTACCATTATCTCCTAAAGGTGAAGAATTTCTTTTTAAACTTGAAAAGTCTAAAGAATGATTATTTTTTTTTGAAATGGATTCACTACATGTACATACATAATAGTCATTAAATCCATTTAAACTTGTATCATCCTGTTTATAAAAATAAAATAAAAATAGTTTAAAACTTTTTAAACATTTATTCTTTCAGAAAATGTAACATCCAAATTATATTTAAGATTTTCTTAGCTCTCTCCTGACTAAAAAATTACCTTACTTTGATTTTGTTGTCAATAAGATAATTTTAATGTTATAGTAATTAAGTAAAAGTTGTTACATCAATTATAATTGGTTTTATTTACCTGACAGTTTTTTATATTTTATTAATATATAAATAAATATTATATTTATATATTATAATAAATAACTATACAATACTACTGAAATACTAGATGAGGGAAATAACATTTATGGGATCCCTAGTTTTCGAAAAGATCAATGAGTTTCGATACCTAGAAGCAGTACTGAGTATAAAAAATGACTAGATAGGGAGGTTTAATGGTAATGAAGCCGAAAGAGCATATTTTGCACTAAGCAATTTCTTTAAACCAAAAACATTCTCTAAAAGCATCAAAGCAAGGCTTTACACAGTAATAATAAGGCCTACGCTTACATATGAGTGCAAGATATAGGCTACCACTATTACTACACTTGTACTACCATCAGTTCTTTTGTTTCAAATATGAATATAAGTAATTATAACCAATAATTAATTTTACTTTAAAATAAAGTTGCATTTTACATTTTTAATAAAAACATGATTTAATTAAGTAATAATAATACTAATGTAATATTTTTTTCAAATAAATTTGAGAATAAAAATTAAAACAAAATTGAAAAAAAAAAGATAGATTAATAGTTTAAAGACATTTAAACATACTAACATCATCATAATTGATACACATCTCATTTTCATAAACTTTTATTTTTTTAATTTCATTTTGAGATAATTTTCTTTTGCTAAAATTCTGCCTAAAATCATACATTTGTAATATTTAAAACAATATTTAATTAATATTTAATTAAATTATAACTTTGTTCCTGGATTTATTTTGATCACACATTTAGTAAGTTTTAGCAAAAATTCCTAATAAATATAATTTAAAATTAATATATATATATATATATATATTCACTAAATACTAAATACATATGGAACGTCAATTTTGAAAAGGGCTCATACCTGAAAATAAAAATTTTTCAGGTAACTAAAAAAAACTGTTTTTCTTTTGAATTATTTTCTTTATTTTAGCAATTAATAAATATAACAATAATTGAATCATTCATTCATTATAATACAAAAGGGATATGAGTCCTTCTCACTCATAAAATACTAGTCCATATGTGGATAAAATGTAGCAAAGTCTATTTTGATAAACTAAACTCGAGATGGCCCTTTTCGAAATTCACAATTCAAAGAGAAATTAATTTAAGTATTGAGGTAACAGGCAACTGATTACTACTGCTCTTGCCAACAAATACAAGTTATATGTTTTAATTTAAAATTAGAAAATAAACTATTTAGGAATTACAGAGAAGTTTTTAAATTGTCATATACATGGATTCATTTCGAAAATTAATAATAAAATAAAAATAACTGAGTGTACTTTTCCATTAACAAATAATTTAAAAAAATTACTTAAGCTTCAATACAGTTTCTTTTTCTGCATTCAAATCAACAGTTGCTTCATTTTTTTCATCCAAGGAAATATTATTCTTAAAAATAATTTAAAATTATAGGTACAAGAATAATTATAACCTTTTTTACATTTAAAATATATTTATAACTATTCATTGCCTAAATTGAGTTAAGAGACACTAATTTTTAAATTAGACAAGTGAACAACTATTATTTCAAATTAAGATTACCTCTATTTTTAAGTTTTTTATTTTTTTTGTGCATTCTTCTAAATTGGGTTTAAACGTGTATAAATCAAAATCTTTTATATTCAATACTTCTAGTTTTTGTTTTGATGCTATATTTTCTATATACAAAACATAAATTGTGTTTTACTTAAAAAAAATATTTAGTAAATTAACATACCTTCCTTTAATAAATCATCAATAATATCAGATATATCTTGAATTTTTTCTAGTAATATACAAGTAGTTGTATCAACAAAATGTATTATATCTTTTTGTCTGATTTTTTCATTATTAACTGTGTCTCCAAGTATATTTAAATGTTTGCATAGGCTTATAAGACTTGTTTTAATATACATGTATATATCTTTTAAAGATTTTTTTCTGGAGTACAATATACAGTAAACAAAACAAATTTTAAATTTTAAAATATATACTGAACAATATAATATAACAAATTAATTTTAATATAAATAATTATTTTTAAAACCCTTACATTTCAGTTTATGAAAATAATTTAATTCCAAGAATATTGACTTATAGAGTTTTAATCTAGACAAATTAATATTATTGTAATTATTGCTTTTTATAGTTGATATTTGATGTGATATAATATATAGTTAATAAAACATGAGAATTTTCAACCTTAATAAAATATAGTAATCAAAGTCAAAATTGTGTTATAACATATCAAGATGATATCAATGATCACATTTTATACTTGTGAACAATTAAGTCTAAATGAAAATAATTTCAATGTAATGAAAACAAATGGTGTTTTTAGTATGCATTCAGTAATATCAATTGGTGACAACAGCAGTAAACTATTTTATTACCTTTTATTTATTACTAATAATTTATATATACATGACTTGATAAGTGTCAAATTACTATTGAAAATATCATTATAATGGAATTATTTAATAAAATTATATAAATGTAAAATAGATACAAAAGCTAGGGGGGTATTCCCCTTCTTGCTCACCCAATGAGCACCCTTGAATATTTTTCATTATAATATTTTGAAATTTATTTATTTATTTGTTTTATTACTTTTCCATTATATTCTTGTGCTGGTCAGTAAGAATAAAGTTATTTTGAGAATTATTTTTAACTGAATGTAAAGATTTCTGTTCCAAGTCTAATCGATTAGTGTCCAAGTTCTACATGAATGAAAATATAACAGGATAGTTAAGTTCTTGAATCGATATAATAATAATATAATAAATATAAAGTTTCATAGATAAATATTTTAAGTGCTAACATAAATATACTCACATTAAGATTATGAAATGTAATATTCCTAGGTAAAAGTGATTCATTGGTTTTGTCAAATTCGTCGATAACATTTAATAAACTAGCATGATGTTCTTCTTTAATTTTTAAAAGATTATGATACAAAAATTAACCAAGGCTAACTGAACGCTTGATGGTCGATTGTAGTATATTGAGTGGCGTATTTTAAGGAGGGTGTCCTCTATGTCTGAACACCCCACGACTTTAAAAAAAAGACCTATGTTAAGAAACACTGTTTATTATATTAGTTTGTTAGTATTTTATCTAAATTAAAGTATGTATAAGTGTACATCATGATGACACAATGAGTCATATCGTGAACTGATGCGTGTGTGATCAAAGGCAAATGAGACCCCTACCCAAACGACTGATCTAAGGAATCTACTGAATAAGCCCATTTGGCCGGATGACGAGTTCGAATGGGAGAGCTCACAAACGTAGCAGGCAGTCTTGGTTCAGAGCGTTAATACGACAACACTTTTGTTGGAGCCTTAAAATTATTATAACAAATTAAAGTTTTTTCTTTTAGTTCCAAATATATATAACAAAATCAGTTCATGTTTATTTAGTGCACGGACAATATATTTCGATAATCCGTAACACCTAATATATTGATATTATCATTTAAACTATAATATACTATATTTATTTTATTATAAAATAAATTGTACTTTTATATAAATGGTCAAACTGAAATTAATTTGATTAGATTCGACGATACGCTGCGAGATTTATCTAGAGTTTATTAGGGATATCTAGAAATGGTTAAGAAATAGAAACTCAAAAGTTTCACCGGATCATTGAGATTAAAATAATACCTGAAATACCTGCAGCGAAAATACAAGCGCGTTCATACGTGTCAGTTTAAACGATCATTAAAACCGATTAATTTCTATTGACGATCCTATTGGCTGAACAAATCGTTTATATGGTTCAATAATAATGATAATATTTAACTGTACATTCTTAATGAATAGTCATCTTATTGTTTACTCGCGGTTGTATAATACATTTATTTTTGTAATACCTACTTGTAATATTTTTCGATGGCGAATTCACAAAAATCTTTATTGCAAACTAGTATTAGGTTATGATGTGCTTAAATATCGAAAGAACTACAAAATATATTAAACCGAATTTAAAAATAAAAATAACACGAAGATGGAAATGTCGGGAAATTAATTTCAGCACATGATTACGTTGGGCACTAGTGATGGTTAGAGGTTAGTGCGGCGTTCACTGAATTACTATTTTTAATACCGATGGCTATTATTTAATTATTATATTGTTGACATAGATTTAAACCTTATGTTATCATATCTGGGAATTTAATAAATAACATAATAATAAAATTATACTCAAATAAAATAACCCAATTCATAGATTGAAAATTGAAATAACAATAGATCAAAATTGTCAGTTCCGGAAAAGTGAGCTCATACGCAACTATAAGTGAATGCATTTTTTTCGTATTTTATTTTTGATTATTTCACACCATAATGACTGAAAATATGCAAAATGTATGTAATTGGGTAGATAAAACAGAAGATAAAAATGTATTATTTGATTCTGATCAGTGGTGCCGAACCCTATGCTTAGGTCAGGCCGTGGCATGACTACATTTTTAAAATGAGGCCGGGGATCAAAGGGGCCGATTTATGGCAGGGACGGTTCCAGAGCCTTGGTAGAAGTTGGCCAAGTTATAATTTTACAAAGTCTTATAAAAAAAAGAAAACAACAATTTTTACAACACAAATTCAAGTCGTCTATTTTTAAAATTGGCAAAAATATCAATAATATGATCTATTTGATCTAGAATATCTACTTTATGATAGACATTAATTAGACATAATACTGATAGTCCATCTTCAGTCATCATTGAACAAAGCCAGGTTTTTAGTCTCCGAAGTGTGGAAAAACTTTCAACCGTTATACCTCTATGGCTCTATCTACATACTTGTGCGTGTCGTATGATAGTACATATTATAATATGCATTTTTTGTTAACAATATAAATTTTTTTATAAATACGGCACGGTCTTGGGAGGAGGCCGCGGTCCCTAGGGTCTGCCTCTGGAGCCGCCCCTGATCTATGGTTTGTACTCTGCAATATTCTGACCTCGCGAGGAATGCCGAACAGACTCTGTTGGATCAGTACGTGTATGAACGGAACGTAAACATTCAAATGTGAATTACCTAAATTAAAATACATAATAAAATATTTTTCGGAATAGTGTCTGACTAGTATGAATTATTCTCAATACTCGTAATTTTAGAGCACAAATTATTTTTCTGTATTAAGTAAAAATTTAGGTTTGTGGCCGCTAGGGTTCTTGAAGCCGTTGTATTTTTATTTTACCTGAGTATAATTTTAGAAGTTCGGCGCCACTGATTCTGATGATAATAACGCTGATCCAAATTTTGTACGTACAAATACACGCGAAACGATTGATCTGAGATGTATCTCAGATGTTGCGTCAACAGAAGAAATTAATATTAATTATCCTTCTATTAGCAGAAATTGTAATATATAAACTTAAATTAAGATTAAGTGTAAATATTTCGATAAAAAGCAGTTATTTTATTATTATTATTTTATTAGTGTAGGTACTGCATGGAAAAATTTATTTTGCAATGTAAGTGATGGTGTAATACTTAATACCCTTAATCGATTGATAAGAAAATTAAAATTTAGTACTCATTAATAATAGGATTATAGTCGAGTAGCATCTAAAACCAGTATTGAACCGTGGTGATACTGCAGAATAATTATACGAAATAACTTTCCTCAACCGAAAATTAAGAACAAATGAACAAATTAAATATTTAGACAAGTATACTATTTACTAAGTATGAATAACTAAGTTCCAGTTCGTAGTTCATACTTCTTTCAAATTCAGTACTTTTATCTTTATTATTCTGAAATCTGGGACTTGAGTTAGAAAAAGCGCGTATTTGGTTGTCGTGCTATCACACGCTGCACTTGTACCAAAATATTAATGATAACAGCTCGCGCATGCACAGTATCACCACTGTTCAATATTGTTTTTAGACGCTCATTTTGCTCGTAGTCTATATCACGGTCATATAATAGATATTAAATATTATAAAAAAATAAATATTAATAATATTATTTCTGGTTGTCAATTTTCACGTATGAGCTGTTCAATAATACAGTATTTTAAAGTTTTTAATATTGAACATTTTAAAACTACTTACAAAGAATTGTATTTCTCATATGATATAGTATTAATTGTGAACAAAGCATAAGCTAACATAAACTGATAACCGTTTCTTAAAGTGTGTTCAGTATATAGTTACATTTTTTATATTAAAATTTATTTATGCACTTTTATTAGGTATTCATTTTTTAATATTTGCTTCAATGGCTTGGAAGTCTCATGGTCGTAGTAATATTGAACTTGTTCAGCACTTAAGAGGTAATTAATTATATTAAGTATAATTGTTGTAATTTAGTAGTAAGTTTCCAAGGATTTACTTATAAATGTATAATTATTCTGTAGCAGTATGCCTTATAGTTAATTATAGTTATACGTTTCAAATTTAAAAATAATATAACTTAACATTTGAACTATTAATTATTATCAACCTAGGAAGACCTAGGTATAAAATTAGTTTAGATTTGTTTTTAAGCATTTATTAGGATTAATAACTAATATTTTTAATTGATTAGTATTGTAGTAGTTGTTTAACGTTTTATTACAAGTATATAATGTCATTACCCCTAGTGTATTATCAACTTTAGTATAGCCTAATTACTTAATAAATAAGTTACACAAGTATTTACTTTAAACTATTGTATTGTATTTTAGGATAATTCCTTCTAATTTTAATTTCATAAAAATAATATATATATATTAGTTAAGTAAATTATGTTTTTATTATAGTTATTATTTATTTTTGCAGCAAACAATATTATTAAAAGTGATAAAGTTGAAACAATAATGAAAGCTGTTGATAGAGGAAATTTTGTATCAACATCACCATACTTAGATCAACCACAAGGTATTGGCTATGGAGTAACTATTAGCGCACCTCACATGGTAATAAATTAATAAAAATAATTTGTTACAGAATATAATCTTATTTTATTATGTTTATATATGTGGTGTTATCAAAAAGTAACAAACATTTTTGTATATTGCATATAAAATTTAAATTAAGCTTTCTGATTTTCGTTATCTTATTGTCAGTAAGGATTTTAATGTATATTTAATATAGCTTAATCAGATGATTAGTTTGTGATTGATAGACACATTTTTTCGACTTGTACTTGTATTTTGTAAGATTTTCGTATTTTAAAAATGAAGGAACAACCAATTTGTATTATGTTTTGTATAAAAAATAAAATTAAGTGTTAATATTAAAAAGGCTTTTGGAGAATTTTCTGTCGACACTTATGGCTTATGAATGATACAAATGTTTTAAAGAGGTCTATGAAAATGTTGATAATGACGTTAGAATCGGGCGTCCTAGCACATCAGTGATGAAAATGTGTCAAAAATCAATAAAATTGTGCTAACCAATCATCGAATTACTATAAGGGTGGTTGTAAAGAAGTTAATATTTCAGAAACATTTGAATAAATTTTTACAGATATTTTGAGCTTTAAACAAGTATTAGCTAAAATGATGGACAAAAACTCTTGGTGTTTGCATCACGATAACACATTGGCTCACACTTCACTTTTAATTCATGAATTTTCAGTTAAAAACCAAACTGTCATCATACAGCAACCACCACTAAACTGGTTTCTGTACGATTTCTTCTTGTTCCTGAAAATGAAAAAGACTTTAAAAGAACAATGATTTTTAACCATACAGAAGATAAAAGGAAAATCGCTGGTAGAACTATAGACCATATCTAAAAGTGCACACCACAATTATTTTAATGATTTGAAAAAACGTTGACAAAAGTGTATTGTATCAGGTGGAAAGTACTCTGAAGGAGATCATATTAATATTAATGAATACATTAAAACATATTAATCATTTTGAAATTTAACATTACTTTTTAATCACACCTCATAAGTTTTTATTAATTAAAAAAGTTATTTCATTTACCCTTTATTTTAAATATGATAAAAGATACAGATATTCAGTTAAATGTTTTAATAGTCTAAAATACTAATACTTTATAGTAAATAAACATTTATTTATTGTTAACTAAATATATAATTAAAATAATGTTCACTCTAGCATGCATATGCTTTGGAATTATTAAAAGATCAATTAGTGGATGGTGAACGAGCTTTAGATATTGGTTCTGGATCTGGATATTTAACTGTTTGTATGGCTGTTATGTTAGGAGAAAAAGGCAAAGCTGTTGGTATTGATCATATACCTGAACTTGTTGAAAAATCTATCAACAACGTTAGAAAAGATAATCCTGAACTTTTAAATTCCCAAAGAATTATTTTAGAAAGTAAGTGTTTAAAGTAAATTTTTATATAATAAAATATTCATTAATTTAATAAGAGTATTTTTATTTCAGCTGGCGATGGAAGATTAGGACTAGAAAAGTATGCTCCGTATAATGCTATTCATGTTGGAGCAGCAGCAGAAAAAATTCCACAACCGGTAATCCTATGAATGCAGTAAAGTATTGTTTAAGGAGTTATTTATTAGACTTTATTCATAAAACCTAAGATATTGAACAATTGAATCTATAAGAAATTTAATAGGGGTTTTTTTTTCGAGTTTTTGAAAATTCACGTTATTGCATAATAAACATATTCTAATAATTATTGGTAGGTGAAATGTACTTAAAACATTAATTCTATTTTAGTTTAACTATAGTTATTGCTGTAATCTTGTTAACTCGAAATTCGATAACCTGAAAACCTCAACTGTTTTTTTAGTTAATTGATCAACTGAAACCTGGTGGAAGACTTGTATTACCAGTAGGACCAAAGAATGGAGACCAGGTATTGCAAGTGATAGATAAAAAATTAGATGGTTCATTATCCAAGGAAAAGTTGATGGGTGTTATATATGTACCACTAACAGATGCAGAATCTCAAAGAAGTAAAAGAAATTATTGACTATGCTTATAATTACAAAATTATATGTTACCTATTTACACTATACTGAATAATCAGTTTCATTCAAAATAATATCATTAGTATATAGTAATTATATTATTGATCGATTATTAACTTATCAATTTATGTATATTGTTTTAAATGCATTGTTAATATTATTTATAATGTTGTTATAAAGTCATATTTATAAATTAAACAACTTTCAAATATTGCTAATTGATTATTTTAGATTATTTTTGGAGTAAAAACCTTTATTTTGTAATAAAAACTGGTATAATAAAATATTTGTCTTATACATTTTTCCTTATGTTATTTTTATTTGTTAGCAATTACAAGAAAAACAAATTTTTTTTGACACTTAAATGTTTTCAATTATATTTTATTAAAAATTATTATTTATAATTTAATTTGAGATGTATTACTTAGAAAAAAGCCTCTGTTTTATACTCTTATATGTATATGTCATAAGGGTGTGAAGACTGTTGGCAGAGTATGTAACTATTAAAATTTTCCCCTACTCCGCAAAGATATAAATGTCCTCTAAAATTTATGATAGAAAATATTCTTACATATTTATTATTTTTATTTTATTTTATTTTTTTATTATTTTTTCTATTTAGTGATACCCTTTCAAGGGCAATGAATACCCTAGGTACAGAAATACATAAACATAGAACAATAATAATAACAGGGTGCATACAACTTTGTAAAACAATATTTCAAAATAGGTATAAGAGGATACAAATAGTATACATGGTGAAAAAAGATAGATAATAATTTTAATTAATAGATTAATTCAAGGAGAAAAAAAATGAAAGATACCTGTTGAAATGAAAAAATATTATTTAAAGAAAACATTTGTGGTTAGTAGTCATATATTTTCGATGTGTTTACATAGACATAGTCAAAATTGGAAATGTTATTACAAGAAATTAGTATATGGTTATCATGATATTTATTATTTTAAAAAAATATTCAAATACAGGACATATTGCGCCCGACGTCCAGTAACGTGGCGATAGAATTATTTGCAAGGGACAAACATGCATTTTTGTTATCCAACCACCATTTAATAATTGATAATGAATTTATTTATATTTTTGAGAAAGTCAGGATTTAATAAATAATTTTTAAGTATTTGTTTTCGAATGATAATAATTTTTCATTACAGGTTTCAGGTCCAACATAACAAATAAAATGTACAACGCATTTATGTAAAATATTTAGATTCCGATCATACATGAATATTTTTGTCAATCATTATGATTGACAAAACCTATATGGGTGGGTTCTAGAAAATCGAGCCGAACTCAAGAACAGATCTTAATAGAGATAAATATAAGATAATTAAATAATTAAGATTGTTGAATATGGAGTAATTTCTCCAGCGATCGTAATCGTTTTCCAACTTTCAAGTATAATGTGCCATAGGCTAATCGAAGGCTGTGAAGCAAAGTTTAATTATAACCACAGGCACACATTCAGTCCAAACCTTGGAAGTGTTAAAATTATTCACCTCAAGGTGATCAATGCGGAGGGAGGGGGCAGAGCTCCCACAATCCCTTACATCTGCCTGGCACAAAACGTTTAAAGTTTTATCATATAATTATAAATTTGGTAATTTTCCATATTACACCTAAATAGTATTAACCGAAAATAGTGTTCAAGTAATAACGATATCGCATGCGTTATAAATACATAATACGGCAAATCCGTATAGTCAATACGAGCATTCGTAATGTTTTACGCGTGTGACATTAGCGCAATACCAATGGGGAAACGAGTGGCGACCAGAGTCAAATCGCATTAGTTCAACGTGTACGCCTTGCCGGAAAGCTTCAGGAGTATGATTCGACTCAAAAAGCGTATATCCAAGGCGCGTGATATATTGATTTTCCGTCGACCCGACCCGACAGAGATGCACATGTCGGTTCTAATCGGACGAACCGACAGGAACCGTCGCGCGACCGCGTGACTCACCCGGGTGCCGACGACGACCGACGAGCGCGTCCGGCGTGGCGTCATGGTCGTGCAACACAGTACGCACGCCAGACGCTAGCGTCCATAAACACGCCGCCAGGCGTGGCCAGGTTAGGTGTTGGCCCGTTCGATCGAGCGACCACCGCGGAAGCGATCTTGCGGGCAACCGGTACGCCGCGGGTCGCCGGTTATATGTGGACGCGACCCGATCGTCCGCGTACAGGATCGGCGGTGTAGAGGGATCGCGGTGCACCGGCGCGCTGACCGATCGCGGGCCCCGGTCCCTACGACCGATGGCCGTCGACGCCGGTGCGGCAAAGGGATCCGGAAATCGGCGCCAGTCCGTAGCGGGGCTCGGGAGCCGGACATGCGTTCGCGCGCACCGCTATCGCACGTCCGAAAAGCGCTATCTGTCGTAAGCTTGACGTCGGACGCTACACCGGTCGGCGTCGACGGGGCGCATTGCTAGAGCACGCGCTCCCGCGCGATCGTCGGTCGTTAACCGTCCGCTGTTGTCGCGAGCATAACTTTTTTTTCCCGAATTTTTATCGCTACGTACACAATAAGAGTGTGGTGGCACCCGGTGCTCGGGGAGTTACGATGCGCGGAAGCCGTAAAATCATAAAACAACACGCGTTCCATCAATTTTATTTCTTCTCCCGTTTCTTGCGCAATGTTATACAACCTCGATCGGCTGCCCTAATCGTTCCAAAAACTTTATCGAACGGTATTTATTACCGTTCGCCTCACGGTATTGTTCACCAAACTGTAATCGAAATGCGCTGCTGTTAGTTGTAGATTTTGTTTTTACCAGTGACGTACGAACATGAGTTGAAGTCACAATTATTACTATAAGTATTTGGCGGCGGCCGACGCAACAACTTGTTTAATAAGTACAACAAAAAATTCTTAACGGAACAGTTAAAGCGCCGTATGTTTTACCGGTACATTTCAAAATCTTATACGTTTTGAAAGTATGACAATAACATTTCCGAAAAATTATCGAAGTCATCCCTATGTCTCCAACAATGTAAGTAGGTACCTACTGATTACACTCCCATCGTATTATAAACGGCAAATGCAGTTTTTAGTGCTCTTATGAAATATTTCGTTCGTGTCATGGGAACCGTTTAACAATAAGAAACAGTATATTTTTATTTATTTATTTTTTATTTAGCTTACCATACGGGCATGTGCCAAATTTACAATTAATATTTGTCATATTGTCACGGAAACGTATTGATTTTCTGTAACGACAAGACAGATTATATTAAAAATTTGAGCTTTAATAGCTTTCGCTTGTTTATGTCCCAATCCTAAATCGTGTATACGGTAAATCCAAACTATAAAGGAAAGCTATAAAGGTTATGATTATGGCTTCTCATAAATTTTTCAATTTATCAAGTCACGTAATCATAACTTTTACTTATAAATGTTTTAGATAAGTTTTAAAGTTACGTGTTTATAATAAGTCCACCATTTCGTTACTATAGTGTGTAACCTGGATTAAGAGATTGTATTTGTATAACTTAGATCCTATATTATAAGCATTGTTTAACATTAATTAGTTTTTACTGCAGTTGATATAGCAACGGTAACAGCAGTTTAAAATACTATGCTGTTTTTAATTTTTTTTAATTTGATGTGTATAGCTAAAAATACTTTATTATCATGTAAGAATAAAAAAATGACTATCTAATATATATAGGAAAGTAAATTCACCAATGGTTGGATGAATAATGAATACAATTTTACAAAATATCTATATTATTTCGAATGTTTTTTAGATTGATATTCAACTTTCGTTTTTAGTAAAACATTATTCTATACCACTCTGAATTCAAGAATGTTTTATTTTACATTTTTAATATTAAATATTATATTATTTAATTTTAAATGTCATATAATATATTAAAATGATTGAAATGTACACATAAATATAAAATTAAATAGTTATTTAAAGTTTAAAATTTAAATTATAATTTTCCATAGGTACTTACAAAATATGAATTACAATATTTTACTTAAAATAACATTAAATCTGATAGTTAATATATCTGATATGTTAAGCTTTAAATTTTTAAACCAGTAATGTTTTAAAAAAAAAAAGTTTGCCATCATACAGCATAGTTTCATTTAGGCCTATCGACTAGATACGAGTTTCTGGTCAAAAATATTTAGAAGAGGAGCGAGCCATAGCTGTATCTGAACGGCCTCACATATTTACATTTTAAGTATTGGATGCATAAATATATACTTTACATAATAATGATTTTATATTAAAAAATGTGTTGTTTATGTACAAAAAATTCTCAATATTTATGAAATAACAATACATAATTAAGGGTAATTAAGGCGTTTAGTGGATACACTAAACGCTAAAGAAAAGTAGAATTACATGAAACTAGAAACTTATGAAATAATATAAATTCAATTTATTGCATCATTTTATATTTACAGAATATAATAGCAATAAATATTGATAATATTATGTTATTAATTTATAGTAATGTATATATATTATGTTACATCAATAAGTTAAATGTATGTTAAGGGCAATATACATATAATAAGATACCTACCTATTATGCACAGTTCTCAAAATAAGTATGCCAAGCAAAAATGATTACCCATTGACTGAGCTTTTTTTAAACAAAATACCATTATAAGGCACATAGTACACCGTTCATAATCAAATATGAATATTATTATCATAAATAATATGTTGGTCAGTATTTTATAGTATTCTAAAATGAAAAGTATTCTGAATTATTATAAATGTAAATTTACATTTTATAGTATTATATTTTTCTACCGAACAAATGTTTTATTACGCCTTCGTGATCAATGATTATTTTCACTATTTAATTTATGTTAAGAAGAGTTATTGCCAAAAGATATAACGTTTAATGTAAATGTTAAAAATTATATAAGATAGTAGACAATAGACATGATTAGATTTACCAATTATTGACGAAAATGCCAAGAAAAGACCATTAAAGATGTAAATATTATCAGTACCTACATTTTTATGATTTAGTAGAGAACAAATATTTTTTGTACTAGTCAATATACATTAGAAAAAATGTCTAAGTACTCTAATGACGTTATGTCATTTTATTATGACATACATGTCTATAACAATGTAGATATATTTCACGTTTATCATCTCACGTCCATTTATAACATATCGTGACTAGTTAGCATTAATAGGATAATGTACTCGTATGTATTTTCCTAATTATTAAATCAAGTAAAATAAAAGGAAATATTTCACTGTTCCAGGGTTCAATTGTGTACTGTAATAAGTGCCTACAACACATAAGATTTGTATTTAAAAATAAATAAATATTATTTGATGTATTTAATTTTTATTCTTAAAAAAAATAAAAATCCGACAAATAAGAAATCATGATAGTTTATGTTTTGAAAGATTAATCATCAGAATATTTTCAATTTTGAATATTCTTAAGTTATGTTGATGTACTTACTATACTATTTAGTTGTGAATAATTATAGTAGTGTAACTTAAATATATAAAATAAACATGTACTTAAATTATAATTTAATAAATTATTAAAATATTATTTTAATTATTAATGTACAATTTATTTTGAATTGACTATATTTTATCATCCCAAATTAATTAATATTATAAATTTGTAATTTATATTTTACATTTATTACTTAATTTTTATATATTTACTGATCTATTAAATATTAAATTAAATAATATACGATTTATTCTTTACATTTTTATTTTTTTAGGAAATAATAATTTAAAATAATATTATCAATATTTATTGTATAATACAGTATTTTATTATATATATATTTCATTAATAAATATAATACTCGTATAGTACATCTTTAGTATACTACCTACTGAATTTAATTTTCAATAAAAAAAAATATTTTTTTTTCAAATTTTGAATTAAACTTTTTTTGAACTCGCATCTACATTTGATGGTTTAGTTCAATTCGTTTCGCATGTCTGGAGCTGTTATAGTTATTGACGACCGAATAAAATCCACTACTGAGGTCAAATATAATATTGTGATCAAGGCCTATACACAATTTACATTATATATTGTCAATTATAATGGTAGTATCATAAGAATCATCAATAATGTCGCATTGCCGCAAAAGTGACGATGTTTGGGGTCATCCATTTGGAGTTTCAAAACACACTTCATCATCAAGGACCTTAGTATCTTACATACTTATGGTGGCTATACTGAAAAGGGTGATGATTATAAAACTGAATAGAAAAAACCCAATTGTGTTTGTGTAAAAAATATTATAATTCAATTGTTATTATATTTGGCATCAAAACTGTGGTAACTAGGACGTTTGAATAATGTACTCTGAATGACAATTGGGCGTAACGTATGGACACATGGTCAAATGTTACTATATAAAACGACCGATTGGACATAAGTTTTCAATCAGTTCATCACTCGATTGCAGTGGACACACGATAACTTCTTAAATCACCACAAACATTTTACTCAGTTTTAAATAACAACCAACATACAGAAACAAAATGCAATTCCAGGTAAGTAAACGTTATTTTAGATGTTAATTGTAGTGCAAGAAATATATATACTAGCGGTTCCCAAACTTTTTTATTATTTAAATATAAGCAAATTACTGTCGATCTAAAATTAAAATAAATACACGATAGTCCAATATACAATATAAATATTTACCTTGCGCCTTCCCAAATAAAAGCTTGCGTCTCCCAAGGGAGGTATGTCTCACAGTTTGAGAACCGCTGATATACAAGATTTGTATTTCAAACATACTGGTAATATTCATAGAGACGTAACTTATTCTATATAACAATGTAAAAATATTATGAGCTCTAAAGTATAAAAAGTAAATCTTCAAACCCGGAAGTTTTGTAGCATAGCTCATATGGACCGACGTTGACAGTATGTTTAACCATATAGGTGTACATCTAAGTAAGGGTTTCGTCAATCTTTGTGTCACATAAGTGTAGAACGATATACTATCAGTTGCGACGTAGAAAATTTCACGAATAGGATGGGGAAAGTGTTAAAATATAACACACGTTTGTTTCAACTTTGGTGTTGTGTCACGTTATTATCCAGGCTATGATACAAGAAACCAATCATACTGATTTGACAACACATGGCTCGACTGTGGGGGTTTTGGGTAGAAAGAATTCCAAAATGTGAAATAATGATCGAAATAAAAACTTAACATTAATGTACACACTTTGTTCGAGTTGTGATTTCTAAAAAAGACCAATAATTAAAAAATGTAATATAATTTAAACATATTTTTGTCATTAATCATTTTCTTCGTTTATCCTAAGGGTAAAATAAGTTATAAAATAATATTTTCTTTTTAATGATCATACCATAAAAAATGTAACAATTATTATTACATATTTCACCAGACGAGCTGTTTTTTATACGAATCAATATGTTGTAACTGATGAAATGTGATAGAATTTAAATATATTAACTTATATTATGTATACCTATCTAAAAATAATTTTATTAAAAAAATCGTCTTATAACGGCTAACTGGCCATTTTGTCGCTTGAAAGTAGTTTTGTTGTTTGGACTTGACTTTAAACGATTTATAATGATTCCTTTTGTTTTTTTGATTAATACTTTCAATCAGGTATTTTCAGCGAGCCAAGTATAAGCTTATGAGTACTTGAAAAATGTTTTCTGTTCGAATTTTATAATGAAATTCATAATGTGTACATCGGATTTTCGCAGACGTCTTTTTCTCTACTCGCCATTGCTGTGTGCGTCATCTCTGCGTACGCCACCGAACAGTCAAGGCAATCGTCTCAGTCGGCCACCGTTGCAGGAGACCGCAATAAACGTGGTTTGTACGCTTCACCATACTTAGCTCCGTATGGACCTACACCGTACTTGGCATCTCCGTACGCGGCATCCCCGTACGTGGCACCCCCGTACGTAGCCTCGCCATACGCAGCCTCACCCCGTTACGTTTCATCGCCATACGTGGCTTCGCCATACGTCGCTTCTCACCATCCGTACGGTGCCGTCTCGTCCTACGCCACTTACCCGTACGTCGCCAAAACTTTTGCCTCGCCGTACGCTTACTACCCTTGAGACGATGCTTCGAGAACACGGCAAAGCTGAGCATTACTAAACCGTGGAATACCTACCAATGAACATCTAACTTTTATATACTTAATGTTAACATACCATCCGTGATATTGTATTTTTTACTATAATTAAACACTTATTATTTCAATAAATAAACACGCATATATTTTATATTATATTTGGATAAAATTTTGTAGACTTGTTTTCTATTTATGCAATTTTTGCGGTTTTCCGACTCTTATATATTACGAGTGCATTACTCTGATGCATAAGTATACACGAATTGTATGCGCTTATACAACGTATACATCATCATTATAATATTGTAAGCTGTTCCCGAGATCATAAAAAAACAGGTTGTTACATACGATCGTATTATTGTGTATACACGTAGACGTAGTAGTAAATACGGTGTACGTTTAATTCGATTGTATAAATGCGGGTGATACGACCGACAGTTAGAGATCACGACCGGTAAAGTGAAAACCAAAGGCCGCGAAAGGGAATTATGTACCGATCGTATTGCAGCTGACGATTATTAATATTGTTATCATTTTTATTAACAAGGTCATAACATGGTACGCCCGTTAAGCAAAAACATAAAATATAAATCATCTGATTAAACCACAAAAATACTCTATCATAAAAAAAAAGAACCGTAGCAGGTCGGGTCACTCCAATTTCGGGCATGCAGCGCCACAGTGGTCTCCACGTATTATTACGCATGTTGCACGTGACGCAACAGACATTTTGAAGACAATATACGAACTGAATGATGAACGGGACTCGTGTGTGTTTTTGACATACTCCGAAATTTGAGTATATAATACGTATACGTAAACTGCACCTATTGTCGCTCGGCTATACAAGTCCACGGCTTACGCATTTTGTTTTACTATTTATGACGTTTTCAAATAGCTTTAAGCTCCAACCTATTATGTTCATATTATTACATTTGCTCTGAATAAATTATATCAGATTAATTTATTATTTTGATATTTGTAATAGATACAGCACTTAGGCCATGGCCTGAATCCTTAATTTTCTAGTACCAAATTAGGAACAATATACTTAATAACTATAATAACAATCAGAAGTGTTTTTTAATAAAATGAAAACATTTTGATTGATCAATTTTTTTTTTTAATTTTTTTTTCATTGCATAAAATTAGTTAAAATAAATTGTTTCTTTATATTATTATTATTATTAATATTATAACTGTTCACGTTTGGATTATAATTATTATTTTAATTTCATGCCGTTTATTGTGTATTTATATTGACGATATGAATAAATATTTTATCGCTCGATAATAAGTGCATTAATTGTTGCTGCAAATGGAAAACAAAAATTATTTTTAAATGTATAAAATATTAATTTTAATTGTTTTCACTTTTCATGATTATTAAAAATAATTAGTTAATATGTATTTAGTTAATAAAAACATTCACATAATAATATTTTCATACGCCTGTTTGATTATAATTGAGTATTATCTTAAATAAACTACTTATTTCCTTATTGAAAACGCAAGGATATTTAGAAGGTCTTCTATTGTTACGAATGTGATATTCTTAAAAGTACCTGCAGAATACATGAATTAGGAGCCTATTTATTATATACCTACAAATATATTAATAATTTTATGAAAAAAAAACCCATGTATATTTAACTTCTTTGATTTGCATGTGTTAATAAATATCAGCCAAAAAAGTTTATCAAAAAGATTGTGTTTCTTCCAAGGGTTTTTTATATCCCCATTTTTTTTTTTAATTTTATTTAGAAAATATGCAATTTATACAATCTATTAGGCACAATAAGAATATGCGTGCGATGTACAGAGAGAAAATAAATAAAACAAACAAACCAAAAGATGCGAAAGAAGTGATTAAAGAAGCCACCCATTAGTGACACTTTAGCTGTTGTATATTAATTAAATATTGAAGTATAAAAGGTGTTTTTTTGTAAAAGGATATCCCCTATCTTAATTTGTATACTAACTTCATTAATTTATAAATAATACATTTTAATTATTTTAAAATAAGTATATATTTGTGAGCTGTGATTTTTAAATTAAGTTTCTGTAAAATTGTATTGCTAATACAAATAAAACAAGATGAACAAGACGTATTGTATAATGATTTATGTATATCACGAAAGATAATATAATATATTTATATTGAAATATTTAATTAATTTAAATATTTTTTTACATCAACCTGTAGAAAGTAATGACCATAAAACAAAACGAAGTATGCGTTTAAATTTAACTATTTACTCATACATACGCCGCAATAGTTCGTATCATAAAAATCATATATTTTACGTTCACCGTACACAGAATTAGCTAATATAAATGTAGCTTGTGTGTCTGTAATCAATATTTAGATTCCTTTGTTCAAAAAAGTGATTGTCGTATTGTTTTATTATTTTCTTGCAAGAAAAATATTTGAATCAAAAAAATAGTAGTTAAGCATTTAACATCAAATTAATTAATTTAACCTGTGTTGACATATTTCAAGTACACATCTGTTTCAAAGTATTAAATCTTGATAAGTAATGACATATTATCTACAGTGGTATTTTGCGAAATTATGTTTTGAACATTTTATTATAAACAATTTTAACTATAATTTCATTTTATTACAAAATTCAATATAGTTTATACTATGATTCATTTTAATAATACAATATTTAGAGAGCGAAATTAGTACAATTTATTGGTACAAAATGTATACTATGATGTTGAGAAATAATACTATACATTTATTTATAATCTTTAGTAGTGATTGCAGTGAAACCTGTCTAAGACGGATTCTGGATAATATAATAATTAGTTCTCTCATAAATAATATTATGGTCGTTGAACTGAAAAGCCGGAAAATATTCTAAAATCGAATGAGTCTTCGGTACTATACACCCACGTGATTTTATTTTATAGACGGTCTTAATTGTAAGTTGAAGAATTGGGATACAAGAGCTTGTAATCTTTTTTAGAATAATGCAAAATTATAATCCGTAAATCTATAATGTTAATAGATAATATCATATAATTTTTAAATATAATAATGTAAACTTACAACAAAATGGAACAAGGAAAACATTTATTTAAGATTTTAACAGATATTTGAACATGTATAATTGATTAATTCACATCTGCAATGTAGATATTTGCTATTAGAGACTTATGTGGTTTAAATAAAATAAAATATACAAAATAGTGAATGTACAAAATTATGCAGAAAATATTTTCATATTTGAAAATGTTTATTCTATAATATTATATTATTATTAATTAATTTATCAAGAACCTAACTAGTCAAATAATCAGTCAAACATTGAAAAACCGTTTTTATTACCTTATTAAAACTCAGATTTGTGATGAATTTGTACTATAATTTAGTTTGTGTATATGAGTTAAACATTTTTAAATTTGCATGCGTTTATGCATACAATTATTTTTGCTATATAACATATGACTTTATAATATCCTCTAGAGTTGAACAACTCTTTAATGCGGTATGCTTAACATTTATTTTATAATGAGTAGTTTCTTTGTTCATATTTTAACAGTAGATATAATTACGAGTATGTATATAATATGTCCAGTATTAAGTAATTACTAATTACTTTTAGGTACGAAGGTTCGGAAAATATTTCTAAATCGTTAACATTATTATTTTTATAAAAAAACATTGTAAAATATCAACTACATTATTTATATTTAATAGAAAAATCCATTATTACTAATATATAAAAATCTATTTTATATGAAGCAAATATTTAATTTATTATTAAAATAATTTATAAATAATTCAGTTTATAAACCTTATTGTATTCAATGAATTCAATTTAAATGATAAATATTGACTATTGGCTTTGAAAAAATAAAAATAACAGCTCGAATAAAAAAAAAAAAAATTAAAAATAAAAAGTTGCCACCAAAATTGATAGGAAGTGTATACTAATAAACAGTTTTAGAATATATAACTCATAAATAATGTTGTATACTTCACTTCTTCTAAATGTATACTATGATTTTTACATCACAGTTCTAAAAGTATTCGGTAAGAAGTCGTGATCAACTATAATCACGTGGTTATGAGATTATTATCATTTTCTATTAGAACCACGAGTGAATGGTGAATGTTTGATTATACTAAATAAACAAATATCGACAAATCAAAAATCAAATTTGGAAATGAAAACATAATATGGTTTGACAGCTTATGTATGTATAACTTTTTAAAAATATAATGCATTATATGGTATTATATTTTGGACGAAGAAAAGTTTTACGCGTATATGGGTAATTTCAAAATTTTTTTAAAAAAATGAACAAAGTATGATGCAGAGCCATATGCTCTGTAATTACGTTTGTTTACCAGAAGTGAAAATTTATTTATATTTTTTCTCAATCAAAATATTGAAAAAAGTGAAAAATTGTTAAGATATTGGCAGAACAGGATTGTAATTTGTTATTGCTTTTATTGATAATAATTATAAATTGTTGCTAAACCTTTTACCACTGCAACTGTCTTAAAAATATTACACTTAATGTTAAAAAAATACTCCGATTAATTAGTTGTCTTGTACTACTAGAAGGTATATATATATTTATATAATCTTAAAATACTTAAAGTCTGTTATATATACATTTAATATTACGAGTTATAATAATGTAATTGTTTTTAATAGCAAAAACAGAGTGCATCATAGTATTTGAGTATTTGTTTTGTTATATAAATATTATAATAATTTATAAATATATAGGTACTTAATTAAATTTGAATGTTCTGTGCATAATTATATTTCACGATTACATGTTTTATTTGATTTTAGAATTCAGAATTTTCATTTATAATTCAGAACGTTCAAACATTTTATGATTTAGTTAATTTATTATTATTATAGTTGAAACGTAGTACATTTCTAACAGTATTATATTTAAACATGGACGTGATCTTGCACTCAAGGAGAAACCAGTAAAATTACGTAATGAATGCAAAAATATAATGGGTCAATAAGTTTTTAAACAATTGTTTGACTTAAGAGTAGATAGCTGAAATTTTTTCTTTAAAAAAAATATAATAAAATCATTTTACATCACAATATATTATGAGCTGTTTTACAAAATCTTGGTATGCA